GCCTTGTTTTTCACACATGTAAAATGCTCAATTCATTCAGGAATTTGAGGACACACTTGGCTACATATCAAAGATACATGCAAAAGCAGAGCCATTTGGGATATGCAGAATTGTTCCTCCAGCTTCCTGGAGGCCGCCCTGCCATCTTAAGGAAAAAGAAATATGGAAAAATGCCAAATTCTCTACAAGGATTCAACAAGTCGACTTGCTTCAAAATAGAGAACCCATGAGGAAGAAACACAAAAGCCGGAAGCGGAAAAGGAGGCGGCACTCTAAAATGGGGAACACGAAGAGACGCACCAATTCATGTTCAGTAGGAGCAAATGCCGTTCCTGAGAATGAGGAGAAGTTTGGATTCCAGACGGGATCCAATTTTACATTCGATGAGTTCCAGAAGTATGCCGAATATTTCAAAACATGTTACTTTCAAAGGAAAGATTCCTCCATAGTGGATGTCGATGCAGAACATCATAAGTTTGAGCAGCCTTCAGTTGATGTCATTGAAGGTGAATATTGGCGAATCATTGAGCAACCAACAGATGAAGTTGAGGTATGGAATGTGGTCATTTTTTTTCGTTTCCTGATTTCGTCTTCGGTTTTTGCTTTTCTGCTGTCATATTGTGTTTGGTTTGAGTTAAGTAGGCAATGGTGTTTTGCAGGTTTACTATGGTGCTGACTTGGAAACAGGAATATTTGGAAGTGGGTTTCCAAAGGCGTCAACAATGATAACAGACGACAAGCAAGATCAGTATGTGGTCTCTGGTTGGAATCTGAATAACTTCCCTCGTCTGCCAGGTTCTGTACTTGGCTTTGAGGAATGTGATATCTCAGGGGTTCTAATGCCATGGCTGTATGTCGGAATGTGCTTCTCGTCATTTTGTTGGGTAAAGTTCATAAATCCTACTTCCGACTTTCTTTAATGTTTTATCCTTTTAAGTTTCCGATTTTAGAATGTGTAGCACCTATCTTTCCATCAAAAAGAGAAAAAGAAACCCACTCTACTTGTCAGTTGTCACATGTATTTCTCATATCTGTGAACTAATTCCCTCCTCTTTCCAACCTTCTTTTCTTCACTATCTTTGCAAGCAGCATGTTGAGGACCATCACCTGTATTCTCTGAACTATGTACACTGGGGAGACCCGAAGGTATGGTACGGTGTCCCTGGAACTCATGCTTCAACCTTGGAGTCCGCAATGAGAAAGCATTTACCCGATTTGTTCGAAGAACAACCTGGTTTACTTCATGAACTGGTAAAAACTGTCAAGCTCTCTCACCTATTTCTCTTTCCATCTCAGCCTTCCTCTTGACATCTTGTTTTTTGCGTTCACTATCCCTGAAGTAATAATGGGTTCCCTTTTCTGCCATCCAATGCAGGTTACACAAATCTCTCCCTCAGTTCTCAAGGCTGAAGGCGTGCCTGTATATCGGGTGGTCCAGCACTCTGGGGAGTTTGTTCTTACCTTCCCTAGGGCATACCATGCCGGTTTCAATTGTGGTTTCAACTGTGCCGAGGCAGTGAATGTGGCCCCAGTTGATTGGTTGGCGCATGGACAAAATGCAGTTGAGCTCTACAGTGAGCAGCGTCGAAAGACATCCATATCTCATGATAAACTTTTATTAGGAGCAGCAATGGCTGCAGTTCGGGGTCTAATGAAACTTGAATCCATTGACAAAGAATCTCCAGGACATTTTAGGTGGAGTAGTGTTTGCGGTAAGGATGGATTGCTAACAAGAGCTGTTAAGGTACTTTCTTTCTCTATGATATTCATGCATATCACAGGGTGTCTTTCTCTTGGTTTTTGTTTATAAAAAGTGAGTTTTAAGTTTTTCGGAAAGTTCACAATACAAAGATGGCCTTTAGCATTTGATGATTTGTCAGATTTAAGAAATGTGAAGATTATTTGCAAGTTAGATTGAAGAAATATGTTTCTTTCAGCTTATACTTCAGGGTTTTCTTAAGCGGCAACAAATACGCCCTGTAGGCTTCATATTTGCACTTTTATGGGTCCAATATTTTACCCTGGCATAAACGGGACAACTAACTGTGTTTTGGATACTTACTTTGATCAGGCGAGGGTTGAGATGGAGAAGTTGAGAATACAAGGCCTTGCGGATCAGTTAAAACAGCAAAAGATGAAGGAACCCTCTGATTTGAACAGTGAGAGAGAATGTTTCTTATGTTTTTACGACTTGTACTTATCTGCTGCAACTTGCAACTGCTCCACTAAACAGTTTGCATGTCTCAAACATGCTAAGCATGTTTGCTCTTGTGAACTAGAACAAAGATATGCGCTTGTACGTTATACCATGGATGAGTTGAGTAGCCTTGTTGATGCATTGGAAGGAGACGTAGAGGCCATGAAATTGTGGGCTTCTGATAACGTTGGTGGCAGTTTGGTTTCTGCTAATGATCCGAAGGAAAGACCATCAGATTCCCCAAGAATAGATGAAATGGTGGGCTCATGTGGCTTGAACAGCCCTGCTTCTTCAGATGTAATCCAGTCCGATAATAAAAACTTCTTTAGCAATGTTGAAGGTTCAGCATTGAAAATTGAAGCTGGTGATTCTGAGGAAGAGGTATGCATTGATCTGAACCTTGATGCTGTGTCTACTGTTCGCGCGAGGGAATCTCTGGATGCATCTCAGAGCTCCAGTAGCAGCAGAATGATCTCTGATGATGATTGTAAACAAGAGAAACTTGTTCCAGAAGACACCGATGTTGTTGGTAAGAAGCTGTTTGGTGTTGATCTCATGTTCTCACTTCATCAGTTCTCAGCAATCCCATCAAAGAGCTTGCAAACTGATGGATTCAATAACACTGAGTCTGTTGAGCTGTTGAACCATGGTTCTGTTATATTTAGAAAGCTCTGGCACAGTGCACAAGCTATATTCCCTAAAGGTAATCAGCTGCATTACAACATATTACACATTACAACATTTGGTTCTATGGTTATATTTGTTATTTCTTTGCCAAGGATAATATGTATTCATTACCCCTGATTTTCCCTGTCCTTTTGTAGGATTCAAAACCCGGTCCAAGTTCTTTAGCGTGAATGATCCTAGGAGGATTTGCTACTACATCTCCGAAATTGTGGATGCTGGGCTACTCGGTCCTCTGTTTAAGGTGGGTTTAGATTAGTTTCATATGTAGATTAGTTTTTATTATCAGTTTGAAGAACTTTCTCCAAAATCTGATTTCATATTTCAAATTATCAGGTTTCATTCGAGGAATACCCAAGTGAGGCATTTACAAATGTCTCAGCAGATAAGTGCTGGGAAGTCGTGTTGCAGCGGGTGAATGAAGAGATTTTAAGACGGAGTAGGCTAGGAGAGGAAGGATTGCCCCCTCTTCAAAGCCAAATTAGTGGCCTGCAAAAGTTTGGATTCCTCTCTTCTTCCATTGTACAGGTATAAAATTAGTGATCTTAGCCTGCCTTGCATTGAAGGAACCACTCATGCACCAGAGATTTACGAGAAAATACGACTTTTTTCAGGCTATTGGAGCTCTCGATCCAGATCATAAATGTAAGGAGTACTGGAACAATAAGCGGCTCCTGAACGAAAATAATGCAGTTGAACAACAACAATACATTGATCCAGGTGACGAAGCGCAGCAAATAAAGCAAGGACTGGTGCAGAAAGCAAGTCCCGAAGAACTGAAAATAATGAAGAGCATGTTCTGCAGCGAGGCACAGTGCGTCGAACGGAATGTGACATTCAAGACATTCATCGAGCAGTAGATGCAGAAATGAAGAGTAATAGGATAATAACAGAAGAGTTGAACAGGAAGATCAATGGAGTTTTAGGTCCCTAGTTCACAACCAACCCATAATTCTTTCTTGATTCTTTAGTGTAGCCTTTTAATTCATTAGATAAAATTGGATTTAGGCCTCAATTCTTTTTCAGGGAAGGAAAAAAAGCAAAATCGTAGCTTGCTTGGGCAGACACAGATTGAATTGGCTACTACTAGGGAGTGTGGGTGGACAAGTTTTTGTAGGATGATGCTCCACCCAATAACACAGCCTTTGCTTGGTGCTCTGCCTTTTTAACCACCATAGCCATTGTAAACATTCAGGAACCATTTTTGTCTATTGCTAATGAAATTAGGGTTTGAGTTTCATTACCAATTCAATTTCCCCCATTCACAGAAGACACACATCACTATCCATACTCTCTCTGCTTCAGTGCTCTAATTGCAAACTTGTGAAGGAAACACAATCCATGAATGGAAATGCAAGAGGGAAACGGCAAAGAACACCAGTAGAAACTAGAAAGGAGAAAGCTGCCATTTTTATTTCAAATTATTTCAGTACATTGGGCTACACTGGGATCAACATACCAGCAAGAATCAATGTAATATGGTAGTAGCCCAGTATTTGCCTCTCCCATGGAAATCTACTCTGTAAACTGACGAAACCACAGCCCGTCACCGGACCAAACCAAACAACACACTAAAGAATAAAGGCTCTGCAATTCTGTTTACTGACTCACGAATTGAGAACTGAAGTAAAAGAAAGTCCAGAAATTGATTCAGCCCATGAAATTTCCCCAAAACTTGAGGCGGCGGCTGCTGCTTATCGGATCTGATCTGGAGGGCAGCGTCACCGTAGATGGAGTAGTCCATGAGATTGGCGATGCCGTGGACAACGACGGCAGGGGAAGTGGACAAGTCAGTGTGGGAGAGGAGGGAGCCGTCGAGGGTAAAATTGGCGGCGGAATTGTTGGTGATGAGAATCGATTTGGCCACAAGGAGGGTCGGGAGGCGGGAGAGAGAGAGAGAGGAAGGAGAAATGGGTTTCCTTGGATGGGAATTTCAGAGTTCTTGGTTTGCTTTTGGGTGGCGTCTTGAGTTCCTGGCGAAGGAATAACATTAACAAACTCTTCCGCTCTTCCCGCCAAAACTCGAAGAAGAAGACGGGTTTGGCTGTATTTATGAGATATGTTCAGGGGTATAAATGGAATGGTGCATTAGTTTACGAATTTTCGGGTTGCAAACTATAGACGGTTACTCGTGTAAATCACTGACGGCCCAGCCCATGCATTAACTCAACCTCCCAAAAGCCCAGGTTAGCTTTACATCATTAGGCCCAGTCAATCAGTTACAATAGACGTTCAAACTTCAAATAAACGGTGTGAGAAGAAGACTTGGGAAGGAAGAAAGACGGGATATATTTGTCCAGCAAGTATATAATTTACAAACCCCTCTAGAATGAGAAGAATCATTATGTGAGATCATCCTCGTCCAAGCCTTCTCCTTCTTCAGTCCCAGCTTTTACTGCGGTAACTTCACCAGTAGGTAGCTTTCTTCCCAGCTTGATGATCTGCAAGTTCACACGCACAAGTAAAAAAAAAAGGGAGAGAAGTCAAAAAACTCAAACCAAACCATCTGAGTGTGGCGACGCGATAGTGCATTTGTCAGCCGATGGTAAAAAGCTGCACTCTGCAAGGAGTCGTGGTAAAAATAACAGGGTAAAAGAACTCACAGCATGGTCAAGATGAGTAATGGTGCTAGACTGAGCCACACGTTTAATTTCTTCAACGTTGCCTTCTGAATAAGCTGAGATAAGCCTGCTACCACATCGACCCTGGTCACTTCCCAAAAACGCAGGAATCCTGGATGTCAGAAAAGAACAGAGGTTAACCAACAAGGAGCACTTTCCAATTGAAGGGTGGATGCATGATGATGATGTCGACTTGAACAAAAAAAGTTATTACTTACTGTGAGCAGTCATTATAGCATTTCTCTGCTGCCTTGACATCATTAGCATAAAGGTACACAATGATAGCACTAAGGTATGCCTGCAATTTTGATGATGTGTTCCATTAAGTGGTAAGATTATCGTTACAGAAAAAATGTGGGGTGGCTTTTTGAATGAAATTGGGCAAAAACTTTGAGGCAGCAAGTTCCATACCTTAAACTGGCTGTTACTAGCATTGCATTTGTCAGCTGCAAGACCCAATCTCAACAAGGCAGCTGCAGCATCTGTGTACCTAAAAGCATTAACTACATGAATCATCTCTTCAACTATTGAAATTTCAACTTCCACCACAAGCGAGGCCAGAAATAACCACAATCCGCAATCTGAATTTTCGAATTTGAAAGCACTGTTGCCTGGAGAGTAGAATGCTTGTAGAATCATAAGAGCTCAGGACCATCACAGGTTACTGTTTACTAAGCCACGTAAAGAAAAAGTATCGAGACCAAGCTTGGTGATCATTACTAATTCCAAAACCGCACTATGTATAAACATGATCCCTTATGGCCTGCAAGTGCTCACCAGGTCAATTCTACAGTGGTACTATAAACGGAATAAAAAACCAGGTTGTATACTCAGCCTATTGCATGGCATAAGATTCGACAGGCAATCACTCATGTGGAAGAAGATTGTTCACGAGCTAAGCAGGTCTGCCAAACAAATACTTACTCAACACAACCAGAGAAGAAAACAGAAAAGACACCAAGGCAATTTGCAATTTCACAGTTAAATTTTTTTTACAACAGACGAAGAACATCAAGTAGATAGATATATACCATGATGCCAACAAAGGCAATCATATCAGACTATGCCTGTTCAAGTTAATCAAAACTTCTCATGGAATTAGTAAACAAAGTAAGTCTTTGAGGTTATCTGCTGGGAACTGGTCTGCTTCCCTATCAGTAGCAGTAACTCAGTTTAAGGCAGATGATCCAAGTTCACATCGAGGTAGGCTACTATGGATGATCGTTGTCAGCGAGTTATGGCGTGAAAGATGTCGAAGACTGTATGCTGGTACCCAACCAGTGCTCGTCAGTTGCTTGGAAAATTTCGAGAACTTTTGACATTGTTGAGAGCAAGTAATACTCAGGTTGCTGCTTGTATGTCTGATCGAGATATTAGTAGCACAGAGTAAGTAGTTGTCCTAAATTGTAAATGAGGTTTAGCTGAACTATTAGATTTGGGATGTGAAAAGTTGGATAGATGTTTTGTAAAGTGTAGATTTGGTGCCAGTTAGGTAGCATTTTGCTGCCTTTTCTTGATGAATTGCTTATTCATCGGAAAAAGAAGAAAAATAGTAAACAAAGGATGCCAATCAGATATGGACGTGGATGGTTGTATACATGTGCGATAAAAATAACAACAGGAAACAACCAGATAAATGGAGGAAGTGCAGATTCTCAAATGCATCTCTGAAGTGAGAACATTTGGCATTTGGATCAAAGAAATGACACGTAGCTGGATTAAGACAATTACAGCTGACAACCAATTGGGGTAAGGTAGTTCTTACTTCTCAAGCTTTATGTGGACGGCGGTTAGAGCGCGGTATAGATCAAAGGCCATTTGGTCCTTGTCATCCTCTTCCAGAAGTGAACAAGCATCAGTATACAGCTGAACAGCAACATCAGGGAGATGATCTTCCACGGCACTGCGGAAAATAGAAAAAGAACATACATGCCAATTTACTTTTAAGCTCCCAACTAGTTTTCCCTCAAAAAGCGAATCTCACGAATTAAAGACCATAGCTTCACTAAACAGCTTATCATCTAAACACCCCCCTAAACAAATAAGAAGCAATTCACTTCATGCAGAACCTAGAGACCTCTAATTCTACTTGACTTGCTCTAGCTTATGACAAGCATAAAAATGTAAAAAGTAAACCTAGAATTACACAAAGAATGTACCAATGAAGTAGAGTATGAGCTTACCGAGCTGCCTTCCCCAGTGCATCAGATGCAGGTTGCGCCCTCCCACATTCAACGTACAACTCGGATGCCCTTCTGTACAAGTCAGCTACATCATTCCAGTTACCTAGCTCCTTAGCTAGAGCAGCGGCAGATTCCATGTGCTTAGCGGCGTCCCAGGGACTTCATTTCAAGTAAAGGACAAACCAACAGAAGAAGATAGCTACTACACCTAGCATGTGCAATCAGATACCAAAGTATTCTTCAAAGACTAAAGAACTCAAGCAAGCAAAAAAGGATACGACGTAAGCATCTCTTGCCCTTTGGAAGCCTTTTCGAATGCATCTTTCGCCTTCTCGTACTTCTTGGCTACTCTATACGCATTGGCTGTAGGAGAATAATCAAATCATTAGCAAAGCAATTCTCTCATCCCACCATGGAAATCCAACAAAGGCTCAGTTTGCAGTAATAATAGCACTATGCAACAAGAAAGCTAGACAGCAGCAGCGATCACTAACCAGCTTGCTCGTAGTTAAGAGTGGCGTTTCTCCAATCAGCACTCCACCTTGTAAGGGTCAGCTTTGTTCTAGTAGAAAACAACAAGTTATTAACAAACAATCACCAGGGGGCGGAAATCTGAAATTGGAAACTAGCCAAATTTCAAAACTGCAGCAGGAAATTTGCTGCAGTCCGTACGGCTATGGCGGGCAACTAGAATGAAGTGGTAGGAATAAGATTCCTTCCCCCTAGGTGATGAGAATCGCGAAAATCTCGAATCCATTTCGCAGATATGCAGAAGATTCTAATCGATGAATGCTCGAGGATCAGCAGTGGTACAGCAGATTGGATCCCAAAACATAGGGAGTCGGAGAGGAGCGAGGTTAGATAGAGAAAGGAAGAAACAGAGAAGGAGGCTCACAGCTTATCGGCCTTGGCGACGAGCTTATCGGGATCGGAAGACATTTGGTTGTCGGAACGGACTTTGGCTGGTCATAGTCTCAGGCTCTCTGCTACAAATTTCCCGCTGGAATAGAGAGAAAGATTGTGGAATCAGAGTAACCAGCGCAGAGAACCATTGTCCATGGGGTTTTGTCACGCATGGCGGGTGACATGGCGAGTGATGTGGCGGATCATGACCAAATCAAGCACGTGTGGCGTTATAGAAGACCTAGTAGCATAGGATGCTACTAAGATTTCCAGTCTTGAATATGAGCTTAATGGTGCACATAAAGAGCCACATTATGAGGTGGTATAATGGTGTGCATTATGAGGAAAATTTAACAGGGTGTAGTAATGGGAGGGACCATTATGAGGGTCATTGATGCCTTGTATGAGGAGAGGCCTATATAAGAAGTCATCTCCTCACTTGTAACTCATCCATCATTTTTGTGAGCAATACAACTATAGAGTTTCTCCCATCTTCTTATGTCTTGTTCTTGTGAGTTGAGTGAGTTTGAGAGCTTGTGAGAAGGCTGCCTAGCATCTCTAACGGAATTGAGAGCTAGGGCCGCACGACCAAGAGTAAGGCCGTGACAGTTGGTATCAGAGCCTGGTTCTGAAAGAAGAATCGGTGTCCTCACTCCCCAAGAAGGAAGATAAGAAAGAGCGAGAGCCTCACTAAAGATGGCTGGATCAGAAGTCCATGACGATGCGGAGAAGCAACGTGGAAGAGATCTCACCCCGGGCACGTGGTCAAAAGGTACGTCGAGCACTCGTGATCCTCTCAAGTCTCTAGACAGGCGAGTCTCGAGGATGGAGACGAAGCTTTCCGAAAATGTCACCGTCATGGAGGATTCGGGAGCTAACTTCACCCAAATCCAAGGCGATGTTCAAAGTATGGCGGCGAGAGTGACGAGTTTGGAGGTTGGCAATGATGGGCTTCGAGATGAGCTCATGGCCCTCATCAAAGACACCATCCGCCATGAACGATGCCATTGAGGTAATGAAGGAGGCGGTTGCTGCGGAGGGTGACCGTCTTGAAGGAGGAGGTTGCGGAGCTCAAAAGCGAGGTGACGCTTGTGAAGAGGGCCATGGCTAACGGACCTGTCATCGCACAACCTACCTCAACCATGGAGATTCCAAGACCAAAGAGCTTTCAAGGGTCGAGGAATGCAAGGGAGTTAGAGAACTTCCTATGGAGCTTAGAGCAATACTTTGAAGCTTCGGGTATTCGAGATGAGAATACCAAGGTAAAAACTGCACCTCTTTACTTGAGTGATGTTGCTATGTTGTGGTGGAGAAGGACCCAAGGCGATATCAATAAAGGGACGTGCGTGATGGAGTCATGGGATGACTTCAAGAGGGAGATCAAGAGGCAATTCTACCCAGAGAATGTTGAGTTTGAAGCCCGGTCGAGACTAAGAAGGCTTGCTCACGAAGGAGAGATTCGAGGGTATGTGAAGGAGTTTTCTGAATTGTTGCTCGAGATCCCCGACTACACCGACAAGGAGGCCATGTTCACCTTCCTTGACGGCCTCCAACCATGGGCGAAGTTGGAGCTACAACGGCGAGGGGTGCAAAGTCTTGCCGAGGCAATGGCAATTGCCGAGTCCCTAGTCGAGTACCACGAGCCGGAGGAACGTGTGGAGTTCGGAGGCAATGGAGGTGGACGCGACTATGAAAGAGACACACGAAGGCGTGGTAGACTGGACCAAGGAGGTAGTCATAAGATTGATAGACCCCTTACTTGCTTTCTTTGTGATGGTCTGCATCGTGTGAGAGATTGCCCAAGAAAGCACAAGTTGTTGGCAATGAAGGTCGTACTAGAAGAGTGCTCGAGCTCGGAAGAGGAAGCGGAGGCGACTCCAAGAGTGGAGCCCCATGTCGCGAAGATTGGTTGCATGAAGAGATTGAGCGCCATCAAGCGGACGGAAGAGCCTCCCCATCCCGAGCAACACGGCCAGTGCTTCGTAGAGGCAAAGCTCAACCAAAGGAAGACAAAAGCCTTGGTTGATACCGGGGCAAGCTGCAACCTTCTCGACGTAGATGAAGCGTAGAGGCTAGGCATCACGTACGAGAAGAAGCAAAGAGGGTGGATGAAGGCTACCAACTCAAGAGCCACAAGAACTCACGGAGTAGCGCGCCAGGTGCCACTCAAGGTTGGAGGATGGATCGGGGTGGCGGACTTTGAGGTGGTGTCGTTGGATGATTATCAGATCATCATCGGCATGGAGTTCATGGTGCGGGAGAAAGCTTTCCCGATCCCCTACGCCAATAGGTTCTGCATCAATGGCGGAGCAAGATCGGTTCCCATGACAAGAGAGCAACTTGAGTCAAACAAGAGGTGTTTGGCAAGGCAAGGGAAGCGAGAAGTGGCAACGATGGTGGAGGCAGCGGCTCACTCGAAGACTCGTTGGAGAAGGAGGAGTGCACAACATCGTGGAGCCATTAGAGACGAGGATGGGTCATCTTCAACTTGCCAGGAGAAGCAAGGAGACACCATGATCGAGAAGGCGGGACCCTCGAAGACGCGACGCAGAGGATCGCGGAGGAGTGTGCAACATCATGGGAGCACAAGGCTCGAGAGCGAGCTAGGCCATCCTTGGTTTGGAGGAAGGTGCAACGAGACCTTGCAAGCAATGAATCTAAGGCAAGGGAGGCGTCTGCCAAAGAGCCACGACGAGGAAGTCGTGGATAGAGTGGAGGAGAATGTCACCAACGAGGCTCAAGAGTCGAAAGAGGTTGCTCGAGGTCGAAGGAGGCATTTCGTAGCAAGGAAGCGACGAGGGCGTCGCGAGAATAGGTGGGGGAGAATGTCACGCATGGCAGGTGACATGGCGAGTGATGTGGCGGATTATGACCAAGTCAAGCACGTGTGGCGTTATGGAAGACCTAGTAGCATAGGATGCTCCTAGGATTCCCCATCTTGAATATGAGCTTAATGGTGGACATAAAAATCCACATTATGAGGTGGTATAATGGTGTGAATTATGGGGGAAACTTAATAGGGTGTAGTAATGGGGAGGGACCATTATGAGGGGCATTGATGCCTTGTATGAGGAGAGGCCTATATAAGGAGCCATCTCCCTCACTTGTAACTCATCCATAATTTTTGTGAGCAATACAACTATAGAGTTTCTCCCATATTCTTGTGTCTTGTTCTTGTGAGTTGAGAGCTTGTGAGAAGGCTGCCTAGCATCTCTAACGGAATTGAGAGCTAGGGCTGCACGACCAAGAGTAAGGTCGTGACAGTTTCCCTAGAGATGTTGATGGACCGCACCTACATTTTTTTTTAACTTAAGCCAAGTACTTTAGTTTCATTCTTCCCCTCAACTCACCACTAAGTACTAACTTGAGTGTCGGAGGGTGTCCACACCGAGATCGACCGACTAGAGGTGTTCAAATAATTAACATGGTAATTACCAAATCAAATAAGCATAAATTCTATTAACCATGGAATACGATATCATAACCAAATCGTTCAAACTAATACAACAATCAAATTAACCAAACTAAAGTTTAATCGGTTTTCCCATAAAAAAATGTTTAGTCGGTTTGATTAATTGGTTAACCAAAATTAAGGCTGATAATCGCTCGGTTATCAGTTTAACCGGTATCCGACTGATAAGTTATTGGTATACCAAGCCTTCCCAATTGACAGCTGATAACCGCTACAGAATATAAACCGGTTAACCGGATATCGATTACCGATTAACAGTTAAATTATCGGTTATCCGAAAAACAAGCGGAGAAAATGAACTGCGCACCTGGGACCGGGAAATCAATTATTAACCGAAGCAGTAGGCCTTCAATAAGAAAGGGATGTGTTATTTGCCGCCATTACTATTTGCCGCCTATAAATTGAACTAAAAATACTTTTTTCCCCTCCAAAACTTCTTTATATTCTATTCTTTGGTTTGGTTTTTTAAATTACCCACACCACCACCCGACCACCAACCCACAATCACCATAGCCGGAGTCACGGCCACCGAACCATCGTCAGTATAAGTCGCCGGCCACCGGACGGCAGCCGTAACATGGATGAACCATAATCAAAAGCACATTCCATACAATTTTATTGTAACTAATCCTATTAACCTTGGATGAACCATGGAACAGAAATGACTTGAAAGAATTGTACATGGACACACAGAACCTCATGGCCATCAGATTTAGGCTTGCAGTATAAAAACTGGCGGAGAGTGGTTCGTCCATGCCAACCCAATAGTATTAGTTCTCCAGCCTTGCACTTAAACTCCTCTTCCCATCCAATCAAATACGGAAAAAATCCCAAAATACACATGTTGTTAAAAAAAAATTCCCAAAATACACACATTATAAAAAAATTTTCCAAAATACACATGTTTGGGCTTCACCGCAGCAGACCAAAGTGGTGAATGCATTCACCGCAGCATACCAAAGCGGTGAATGCATCACCGCGGTTGACGGCCGCGATGAATGCCTGACGTAACACTGAAATTCAAACAAACGTAACTTTGCGCTCGGTTATCCGATTGTAGCGAATCTTTTTTTGATTCCACATAACTTTTCAAGATCTTTCAATCTGAAATAAGACTTCATCCCAAAAAAAAATCATTTGCTACCCCGAACGAGCAATTTTTCGATTTTGATAAACTTTGGAAGATCATAACTTTGTACTCCACAATCCGAATGTCATAAAACTTTTTTTGATTTTGCATAACTTTTGAAGCACTACAACTTTGATTATAACCATAATTTTGGAAAGTATGTGGATTTGTGAAAAGTAAAGGCAAAGTTTTTCCCAAAATCCCGTATACCCAAAAAAATTTCTTTTTTAAAACATTATTTCCTAGTAAAAGTTGTAGTTCTTAAAAAGTTATGCGCAATAAAAAAAAAACTTTACGACGTTCAGATTGAGGAGGTAAAAGTTATGTCCTTCCAAAGTTTGGCAAAATCAAAAATTGCTCGTTCGGGGTAACAAACGACATTTTTTTTAGATGAAGTATTGTTGCAGATTGAAAGATCTTGAAAAGTTATATGGAATCAAAAAAAAAAATCGCTACAATCGGATAACCGAGCGCAAAGTTACGTTTGTTTGAAGTTTCAGAGTTAAGTCGGCCATTCACCGCGGCCGTCAACCGCGGTGATGCATTCACCGCTTTGGTCTGCCCGGTGAATGCATTCACTGCGGTTGACAACAGCGGTGATGCCCAAACATGTGTATTTTGGGAAATTTTTTTATAACGTGTGTATTTTGGGAAATTTTTTTAAAAACATGAGTATTTTTGGAATTCGTCCATCAAATACACACTCCATAAAAATAATATCCCCTTCCAAAAATGGTTGCCACTATGCTCCTCATCCTCCTCCTCTGCTACCAATATCAAACATGCTTTGCCTCACGACACTCAACCAGAGGCGGATACATGCTGCTTTAGGGGTTTGGTAAAACGATTATTCAATTTCCGGTAGTAGTTTCGTATGAATAAAAATAATATAATTGATAATTTGGGACACTGCTAAATTTGAAAAATGATTATCCTACTCTCAGTTGTAGTTTACGTATGATTTAAATAAATATAAGTGATAATCAGTGTTATTCATACCTGGGACATACTATCATTAAACATTTTTTTTTTATGAATCGGTGGGTTTCATTTCATCAAAAAAGAAGGTGCTAACAACTACCCTGTTAGCTAGGTAAAGAGTTCAAAATTACAGCCTTAAAAACAAATTCAGACCTCTGAGACAGACTACCCCCTATCCCCAGAACTGGGAAACTCTGTGAGCATCGAAAAAGCACTCCACCTCACTTTGTATCAGCTTCAGCAGCACATTCGTTTGCAAAACCTTACCAGCATACAGTCTTCGACATCTCTCCCTCCATATGTTGCTAACCCAACTCTGCCATATTACCCTGCCTACCTCTGCCATCTCAGTCTGCTTCTTCAGCTTCGAGCCAATCCAATCCACTTCTTCACTCCAGCTCTGCACATCTGGAATTCTCAACACCCTGCCAAATAGAGAAATATATATCTGCCTGGACACAAGACAATGGACAAATAAATGTTCCCTGTCCTCAACACCAGAGCCACATAAACAGCAGCTCATATCTCCTGCATATCCCCAGTTTTGCATTCTCATCTCCGTGTTAATACTGTTCCTCAACACCAACCAGGTAATAATCCGATTCCTAGGGATTCCTTTACCTTTCCAGAGGAGTTTCCACCAGCTAACCTCATTGCCAGTAGGCCTCAATAAATCCCAAGCCCTTTTTACTGAGAACTTTGGCATAGAAGAGCCACCCAGCAAGAGCTCTTCACCTCGATATGAGATAAAAGCACCCACTTTAAAACGAAGTTTTAATAGTTTCTTCCAATTCCAGGAACCTGATGAACAAGTATAGGTCCAGAAATTCCTCCCTTTAAGCTTGTATCTGTTTATCCAAGCTACCCAGAGAGATCCCTCCTGAATCAAGATCAGGCAAATATGCCTAGTCATACAAGCCTGATTCCAACTAGTTAAGTCTCTAAACCCCAATCCCCCTTCTCTCTTAGGAAAGGTGAGATGCTTCCAGGCCACATTAGCTCTTAATTTCACTCCTGATTCCACCCCCCATATGAAATCACTACAAACTTTCTCCACCTCCCTGATAACAGATTTGGGGAGGAGAAATACAGACATCCAGAACTGAGTCAAGCTGTATAAAACTGACCCAACCAGCTCAATTCTACCAGCATAAGTGAGTGTTTTGGCCTTCCAACCTCTTACCCTGGCTACCATTTTGTCAATCAGAGGCTTACAGGCTGTTAAACTGAGTTTCCCTGATATTAGAGGGACTCCCAGATAACGAACAGGGAAAGAACCCAACTGATAACCATATCTATCTGCTCTAGCCTTACTTTCCTCAGTGCTCAGACCCCCAAAGTAAATCTCACATTTACTTGGATTAGATTTTAGGCCAGAAATCAATCTAAATTTAGATAACACTGTCTGTAATTCCTAAATGCATTTGTCTGAAGCATCCGAGAAGACCAATAGGTCATCAGCAAAGCATATATGAGTTAGAGAGACCCCTTTACACATAGGGTGATAGGGAAAAAACTTGGCAGCAACAGATTTATCAAGTAGACATGAGAATATTTCCATGGCAATAGAGAATAGATATGGAGAGAGGGGGTCTCCTTGCCTAAACCCTTTTTTTGCTGGGAAATAACCCACTAATCCACCATTAAAACAAACACTGAGCATAGGGGTTCCCACACACATCTGAATCCATTTCACAAATCTTTCAGGGATATTCATACACCTTAGAACTTGAAATATAAACCTCCAGTCAACTGAGTCAAAGGCTTTCATCAAGTCAATTTTGATAGCACACCTAGGGGATATGTTCTGATTAGAGTATCTACTAACTAACTCATGTGCTAACAGAATGTTTTCTCCTATCAACCTTCCTTTAACAAAGGCAGTCTGGTTTTTACTAATCAGGAAAGGAAGAAGAGGGCTTAATCTTTGTGCAATAAGCTTTGAGATGAATTTGTAAAGGATATTACAACATGAAATAGGTCTGAAGCTTTTCATTTCATCAGGATTAGCAACTTTAGGAATCAGAGCCAAAACTGTTGCATTAATAGGCCTAGGGATTTTATCTTGTTCAAAACAATATCTAATGGTAGAGCATACCTCAGGACCTATCAAAGGCCAGGCATAATGGAAGAAAGCAGCTGAGAATCCATCTGGACCTGGACTCTTGTCAGCGTTCATTGCAAAGATAACCCCTTTAATTTGCTCATCTGTAAATGGTTCACAAAGACTTCCTGTCTGCTCATCAGATAACTTCCTCCTCAGTAATTCATTAAAGTATTCATCAGTCTGAGGAACCACCTCTGAGTCTTCATTACCCAGCAATCTTTGATAGAATCTTACTGCTACCTGGGCCATCTCTTCTGTTTCAGTGACCTTATCTCCTTCTTCATTCTTAAGGACTCTTATTGTATTTCTCTTCTGTTTCACTCTAACTGCACGATGAAAGAAAGCTGAGTTCATGTCTCCTGTTCTAAGCCAGTTTTCCCTGGATTTCTGCTTGTAAAAACACTCCTCGGCATCCATCAGTATTTTCAACTCTAGCCCCAGTTTATTCTCTGCCTCAAACAAAGCTTGTGTCGGTGTATGAAGAGCTTGCTGCTGAATAACAGGATACTCTTTCTCCTTCTCCCTCACTCTTTCAGACAGATCTGAGTACTCTTCCCTATTAAGCTTCCTCAGTAGGTTCTTCAAATTCTTCAGTTTCTGACTTACTCTAACTAAGGGATGACCTGTAACATTACTTCTCCAAGCCTCCTCCAGCAAATCATCAAATTTAGGATGTTTAGTCCAGAATTTAAAGAATTTAAAAGGCTTTGGGATCGACTTGGCCTCCACTTCAGTATCAACATACATTGGACAGTGATCTGACACTCCTGGAGTCTGAAAATGCACCTTGCTATCTTTCATAGAATCAAGCCATGAAAAATTTACCAAGACCCTGTCCAAACGTTTGACAATTGGGTTAGCTGCTTGTTTGTTAAACCAAGTAAACCAAGGCCCAGTGGCCTGATGCTCCTCCATTTCTAGCTCATTAATCCATGTGTCAAATAAAGCCATAGAACCATCCACTCTTGGAGAATTGGAAGCTTCAGAAGGGTTTCTGATTTCATTAAACATATTTTTTTCGTTGAATCCATTAAACATATTCTCCATTAGCTTGCAACTCATTTGTTGTTAAATTTTAACACTATGTAATAGTAAAAATATTATTCCTTATCCTCAACTATTTTCAAAATCTAACAATTAAACTAATTACGGGCTACTCTTAATTTGAATTGATTTTATGGTAGCACTGCAAGTGTTGAAAGACTCTTTTCAACTTTGAGTCAGATATTTTATTATGAATTAATTAATTTAATCATTTAGTTTTTAATTTAATTTATTTTTTTAACAAGGACACCTTTATAAAAAATTGTTGGATCCGCCATGCACTCAACCACTCCTCCCCACCAATCACCATCAAACCCCAACAAAAATACGGTGACGACATCGATCCTATTGGCGCCATCCGAGGGCTAGACGCAAACCGGCGACAACCGCTCACACCCAGGGCACTGAACTACATATTGCCACCAACCGATCTACCACTCTGTTTCTAGCTCATCCATGTAGTTGAAGAAAAACATTGCTGAATAAATAAAGACAAACACTGCCGATTTATTATGAACATTTATTTTTTTTACTTATTGCTACCACAAAGGGTATTTTTTTTTTTTCATTATATGGGAGAATTCATTAGCACAATCAAACAACGAGAAAGCAACAAAACGAGCGATCCATCTTAACTCGTAACTTAAACAATAAAAACAAAAAAAGAAATATTAATTAACTAGAAGAAACAACAAAGAATGAGTGAGAGAGTAATATAGAGTTGTTGCTCTTCTTATGTTGTTGTTGTTGTTGTAGTTTCTTATTCTTGAGCTTGGTTGTCATTATCAAATAGAGAGTGGGGGAGGTGAGGCGCCGCCGCCACCAGAGGGAGGGAAAGGCGGGAAGTTAGGAAGAGGAGGGAGTTGGAATCCTGGTGGGAAGTTTGGGAGCGGAGGAAACTGGAAACCGGGCATCGGAAAGTTTGGGAGAGGAGGAAACTGGAAACCTGGCCTTGGGAAGCTCGGGAGCGGAGGGAGCTGGAAGCCAGGCCTTGGGAATGGAAATTGTGGGAACGGGAACATGCTTTGCGCCGACGCTCCTAAACTGACGGCATTGGATTCCTGAAGCAATCGGGCAGCATCCACTGTGGCCACCACCACAATCAGCAGCGCTAGCCCAACGAAAGCAATCATTTTTGTCATCTTGATGGGAAATGAAAGGCTTTTGTATTGTATGGAAAATGGGAGGGATACTGAAAAATAAGTCGTAAGTATTGAGATATATATATATATAGTCTAGATAGGGATTTAGATTAATCCGTATCTCTTTGTTTTCGTGTTTGGATTGGTGCCAATTAAAAGACCAAATCAGATTCTGAGAGGAAACAACTAGGCACCTGAAATGGGAGAAAATCATGAAAAATAGATCAATCAAGGTCTAATGATACGAGATTAGTTAGGTGTCAATTTACCAGAGTTGAGTATCTTCTAAATTAAGGGGGGGAAATGTACTAAAATGGTGACAAAATACCTCAGAATCTATAGTCAATTCACAATTGTTATAAAAAAAAATTTGCCAGATTTATTAGGGTTATAGGTATAATATACCCCTCTACTATGACGTTTTATCAAACATGTCCCTCTACTATTTTTTACATTAAATATGCCCTTGTATTTTGAAAAAATTATCAAACATGCCCTTCTATTAAAATTTCCATTGATAAAATCGTCAATCATGGTTGAACCGAGATTTAGACGACCCGACATCGGCAAATGGGAGGGAAAATGTCAGTTTGTCCCCTGTTTTATTTCCCTGAGTATTTTCAAAGTGAAATTATTTGAATGATTTGATTATACAAAAGAACCAAAAAATTCTAAAGTGAATTTATTAGGGATATTTTAGTCATTTGTGTCGCCCAAACTAAAGTTCGGCATTGGTTAACGGTTTTTGGATGGAAATTTTAACAAAAGGGCATCTTTGATCATTTTTACAAAGTAGAGGGGCATGTTAGATGTAAAAAGTAGTAGAGGGGCATGTTTGATAAATCGTCATAGTATAGGGGCATATTATACCTATAACCCAATTTATTATTGCTACGCATACAAAATGTCAATAAAATTTACATGAAAAAAATATTACTCGTATAGTTTACATTTTCCATTGCACTACCTTGCCATACCCAAATTTTATTAGGCAAAATACACTTCCATAGCCATAACTTTCGCGTTTGTGACAATAATAGCCACTTTTGGAGAAATACCAGATATAGCCACAATTTGGGATGATTGTATGCCAAATCTAGCCATTTTCGTCACAAACTTTAACGGTGTTAAAGATTCCGTTAGTTAGATTAACAATATGCTGACTAGGATGCCACATCAACGACAACTCACCCTCACCCTCACTTGCCACGTAGATGCATTGTCATAATTTTCTTTAAATATTTCTTTTGCCTTTTAACACTTCATCTTCTAGCTTCTTCAAATTAATTTCGGCCAAAATCGTGGCGCCTTCCATTACTCTGGCCAAACCCTCAAGGTTGACAAACAAAATCAAGAACAGAGAACACCATCATTAATAAACTCATAACCAAAATTTCAAACCCAGAACCCAAAATCTTAAATCTAGAACCACAAATCACAAATCTAGACATTTGAATCTGCAGCTTCCTAACCCTTGAAAAATCCCTGTCAACGAAAACAACAATCACCCATCCATCTAAGCACCAAACTTTTTTCGGGCCCAGAAAGAAGAAGAGAAAATAACAAGGACGAGAAGCAGAGGAAGTTTTGTGAGCGACCTTAGTGCCGAGAAGGGAGTGAGTTGCTTTGATAAAAGCGTTTCGGTGGAGAACGAAACAGCACGGTGGATGCCAATCTGGGCAAGCGGCTGCTCCTCGCCGTGCCTGCCGGAAGCCATGGCTCCTGCTGCTTGATTGAAAGCCAGACATAGTGGAAGAAGAAGTACACACGACATAGCCATCATCAAAAGAGGACTCTCTTCAGCCTGCCTGCCTCGGAGCTCCCGCCCCTATACTGTATGGATGGAGACTCAAATACAAGGCCGACAGAGTGTGAGTGCCTTCTCTGGTAACGGATTGATTGCTCTGTTTTTATACCGGGGCGAGGCTTCTAAGCTGAGTCTGCAAAAATGCAAACTCTGCCTTTATGATGCCATTCTCTGTAACCTCTTTATCGCTTTTTTCGTTGATAAGATATTCGCCACCGCTTCATCTCCTTCCTCTCTGGAAGTGCTTTGTGTTCGCCCCTCAGATTTGAACTCGTCGGAGAACCCCCAGCCCCTCAAATTCGAACTCGTAGTCCTTGAAAAATCCGTTCACTCTCCCCTCTTGCCCATAAACCAACATCGCTAAAGAACCCCCAACAACAAAACCCCCCAAATCGAGCACTGTAAAGGCAGATGCCCCAACAACAAAACTCTTAATCAAATCCACAGAAAAACCCTAAATGCAACCATCCCAATTTCAAACCCGAAAAAATTCCTAAATACAACAAAGAGAGTAACTTGACTTCTTCTTCACCCTGGCGGCCTCGTCGTGAGAGCTCGAATCGCCATTTTGCGATGGCTAGATCTGTTTTGGCGGTGGAGCATCGGAGGGAAAAAACAGTGACGCGGCGCCGGAGAGAGGTCGGGACGGTGAGGAGGCGCCAGAGAGAGGCTAGGACGGCGAGGAGGAAGCGATGGGAAGGATGCTCAGGGAATAGAGGGAGGTGGGGAACGACGAGGAGTTGCCCTGAGAATTTAATATGTCCTGGTCGCAAACAGAGAGGAAGAAGGACATGGAAAAAGGCGAGAGAAGAGAGACCAGAGGGGGTGAAGGAATTTATTTATTTTTTAATTTAATTATAATAATAAAATAATCATTTCCACATGGCATGATTTTGGACAAAAAAATTGCCACATCAGCAAAAAAACATTCGTCTAGTCAGCATGTTTGATAACACCGTTAAAGAATTGGATGGAATTGGCTATATTTGGTATTTCTCCAAAAATGGCTATTATTGGCAAAAACGTGAAAGTTTTGACTATACAAGTGTATTTTGCCATTTTATTATTTATAAATTGGAATTCCATGGCTACAATTTTTTCATTGTCTTTACTGATATGACTTGTCATGTCTCCTTCCCAATACGCCTTGACATATGGTCCGACAACGAGTCTCTTAACATGTAGGTCTGTGAAGGATTTTCTAACTATTTCAGTCCTACTAACACGCAAAATATTTGAATTCGATCGATTTGTACTGTCAGTTCGGCCCACAAGACAATGGGTGGTCCAAATTCTATATTCAACACCCTCATCTCACATTCTTAGTGAGCATCCTCATCTCACAACTGCCACCCTCGTGATCCCATAAATTTCCCACCCTCAATGCACGTTACGATGCACGACAAAGTCCTTCTACATTGTCGCGACAGTTGCCTCCCTTTCCCAGTGGTGGAGCTAGAAAATTAGTCAATGAGTGTCTTTTACGTATAATGAAAAAGTCAACTATATAATATAAAAGTCAACTCTAAAAGAAATAAAGAGTCGATAATATAGTACCCAAGATTCGTACAATTACATAATCATAGTTCTACGCACATCGCCTATAAGGAACCGCAACAAGATTTCATATTTAGAAAGCATTGTAGAACATATTCCTGTCCAAATTAGCACACAAATCTTGTTAATATATGGCATCAATGCATCATTCAACCACTCATTGTTCATCTGGTTTTGAATACCGTTCTTGATATATTGTGTGGATGAAAATGATCTACACACTGTTGTTGCATAGAGAATATAAGTGTCAACTTGAGAAGCAAATAAACAGATGGATACTAATTTGTGCTTATTTGTTTCCACCATTTTTTGCTAACTCATCAACGCCTAGTACTTCTTTGAGCCTATCATCAAATGGTAGATCAGATATATGAATTCAGCTGATGACCAAAAAATTTCATAAGATTTGGAGGGAACTTGTAGGGTTAGAAAGTAGTGAGCTGAATTAGCTTCTCCTTGCAGGAGGCAGCAAATGAATTTTGTGGATTTAAGCAAGTCATAAATAAATACTGACAATTGAACTCATCAAAACGATTATTAGTTTGGAGAATTTAGGACAATTTGCTAATATAAATAATGCTCAATGCAACATGTATCATAATATTTACCTAGCCGAGATGGTAAGGAAGTCTGCTTGTCATTTGATGGACAAAAGATTTGAGTCCCTACTAACCCATGCAAACAGAATTTTTTTGCCAACCCAAGAGGATTGCAAGCACTCCCAGCTTTTCAAGTAGTTCCGCCACTTCCCTTTTCCAAGTTGAGGTGTCTACCATAATTAATTTACAACCCAATAGAATACCCTACAAGAAACCCAAACATCAGTTATCATTCTGTCAATTTCAACCCGATGCCTCCTTTTTCACTTTCACAACTAAACCAGAACGATGATACATCGTTGCTTAAGCTCAAACTACTTAGGTTATGGGTGGTAAAGTTATCTTATAAGGAAGATTCCATCAAACATGTTTGCATGTTGTTTATAGACAGCCAAGTAAGTATGCATGTCTTATTGGTCCAATGTGTCTTTGCCCTGTACTGAGCAATCATATAATAGTGTACATTTTCCATAAAGGGAGTTGAAATTGAAAGCATAAGCTAACCTGCCATCGAGTTTGTCTAACAAACCATTGTATTGGTTTTCGTGCAGGTACACAACTAGAATTAATGGAAGAGCCTAAGGTCTTGTTCACTTTCAATTTCGTTTTTTGTTTTTCGTTGTCAAAACAGAAAATTTAAAAACAAAGGGAGAAAACGTGTTCACTTTGGTTTTCGTTTGTGGCAACCATTTGACAAGAAAAAGAGGCAGCTGACGAAAACAAAAAAATTGGTTTTCCTGAAATGCTTGGGACGGGTTTTCTCCCGTTTTCTCCGGAAATTTTTAATGAGGTCTGGTCTTCGAGACCCAGCAACCTCATTTTATCTATTTTTTTGGTTGTTTTTGTTTTGAAGACTCATTATCCAGCCCCTCTTGGCCTCCTCCCTTCGTAACCCTACTCGACCCACAGCCCTCACCACTGAACGAAGACAGCAGCAGCTGCTGCCGCCGCTCCTCCCTCTAGATCCGCTCGCCGTCCGTCAGCAATCTCGGTCGCCGTCGTCTCTCCCGCCCGCCGTCTCGCCCGCGCGCCATCCGCCAGCCGTCTCGCCCGCTCGCCGTTCACGATCGAGCCGCCTCCACACCTCTTCTTCTCCCGACGACGGCAGCGACCAAAAACCCTTCTCTTCGCCTTCCGCCATCTCGCCGACCTTGCGTCTCGGCGTCCGCCGTCCGCCGCCACCTCTCTCCTCCGACCAGCGAGATCCTCGCCTCTTGACTCGGGTAAGTCCCCTGATTTTACTGCTTTGTTTTTTTTTCTGATATAATACTTGAATGCGATGGCTGCAGTAGTTTGTTTGTTTGTGGGAGAAGTTGTTTGTTTGTTGATTGTCATTTTGATTGTTTGTTTATTGTCATGTTTGTTCTATAGTTTGACTCATGGAGAATACAGAAGTTGTCAATGATAATGATTGTGTGGTGGTAGAGGGAAAAGATGTATGGCCCGAACATGTTAAGAATTATATGATTGAATTGATGGTCGAGGAAGTGAAGAAGGGTAGCAAGATTACTACTACATTCACAAAATTAGGATGGTTCAATATAAAAAATGGTTTAAAGAGTAAGCTTAACAAGGACTATACCGATGAGCAATTGAAGAACAAATTTAATCTACTTAGAAGAAGGCATAGGGATTTCAAGGGCATGATTAGTGAGACGGGAGTTAGTTTCATTGCTGCAACGGGAAAGGTGTCCGCTTCTGATGATCGTTGGGAGAAATGGACGAAGCAGGTAATTGAACATTTCGTTCAATTTCATTAAATATATGTTTCAATTTTGAACTTAGAATTGATTAGAACGTTCATGTGTAGGCTATAAAAGGTATTACCGGCTTTAGGAAGAATGGTTGTCCAGAATACAACAACCTTTGCATCCTATTTGGTGACACTACTGCTTCTGGTAGCAATGCTTTTGTTTCCACTCAAGAAGTCTCAGATAGCAGTGGTGGACAAAGCAGAGAGGACAATGAGGAAGGGTTTGTTGTTGCTGGTGATGCTACAGAGCATGCCAAGGAAGCAAAGGCCAAAGCAAAGGTCAAAGGCAAGAAGAGGAAAGCAAACAAATCCACCTATTCAACTGCAGTAGAGATGGCAATAATTAGCATGGCGGAGGAGGCTAAAAGGAAGAATGATAGGCATGATGCCAAGACTGCTGCATCTTCTGTGAAAGGCCCAATGAATGAAGTATCTTCGCAGGACAAGGACCTAGATATTATGACAGAATGTATGAAGGTTTTAGATGAGATGGAGGTGGATGGTAGTGTGTTTGTCAAGGTATTGATGTTCTTCATGATAATCCACTGAAGCGTGGTCTCTTTCTGCGCATGACAGAGAAGAGAAAGAAGGAATGGCTGCAAGGTTTGGTGTGATTGTACGACGTCGGCATTGAGTGTTTTTGTTTGAGTGTTTGTGGTTGTATTTTTAGTTGAACAATGTTGTTGAGTTGAATATTTGTGTGATTGTGGTTGTATGTTTTAGTTGAACGATTATCTTATTATGGTGTAAGCACAATTTCAATAAAGTTTGATTATAATTTCTTATTGTGCAATGCAGACAAATGGCTTCTGATTCCGATACAGATTCCGATGATGATTTGTAGAACTTCTTGTTGCATTTGTGGTTGTTGGAGACAGAGAGATCCAATGTGTCAAAAGTGCCATGCAGAACCTCAGACAAAACTGGGCATGCTTGGGTTAAAGAGCTTCTTCATGGTAATCCAAGAAGGATATATGAGCAATTTCGGATGGACAAAGATACGTTTCTTGCTCTTTGTGAGGAGTTGAAACAAAATGGTGGGTTAAAAGCCACGAAGAGAGTCACAGTTGAAGAACAAGTTGGCATCTTCCTAAAGACTATAGGTCACGCTAATGATTTTAGAGACATTGCCGAAAGGTTTCAACATTCAACGGCCACCATCTCAAAGTACTTTGACAAAGTATTGTTCCCCCAAATTTGGATGACGTCCCTGAAAAAATTGCTGGTTCTAGACATGATCCATATTTCAAGGTAAAAGGAATACTTACTCTATAGTTACTGTTACAACATTTACAACTTCTGTTGATCATGTTCACTTTTGTGTTTACATAGGATTGCATTGGAGCTATAGACGGAGTGCATATTGATGCATGTGTTCCTACTGCTGAACAAATTCCATATCGAGGACGAAAGGCGACAACAACTCAAAATGTGGTGTGTGTATGCTCCTTCGATATGCTTTTTACCTTTGTGGTGGCTGAATGGGAAGGCACGGCAAATGATGCTAGAATTCTTAGTGAAACCGTTTCAAATCCAGATAAAAAGTTTCCGATGCCACCACGAGGTACTTATTATTGTTTGTACATAAATAAATCTCATTTTATTATATACTAATTGACTTGCTATATACAATGTAGGTAAGTATTATGTTGTTGACTCCGGATTTGCGAACATGCTTGGGTTCCTAGCACCATATCGAACAAAGGAGCCTGCTCATTTTCAAGAAATCAATCGAGGTGGTGGACCCAAAACTCGTAAGCAATTATTCAACTATTATCACTCATCCCTACGCAATGTCATCGAACGTTGCTTCGGAGTTTTGAAGGCCAGGTTCCCAATTCTGAAACATATGCCTTCTTTTTCATTAAAGAAACAAGCACAAATTGTTATTGCTACATGTGCTCTACATAACTTCATTAGGATTCACTCTTGTGAAGATATCCTATTTGAAAAATATCAAAATTATTATATGGAGGATGGCGTTAATGGAGTGCAAGGAGGGCTGGAAAGAGAAGAGTACAGTATGAGTTCAAGCCGGACACGACAAATGGAAATTCGACGTGATGGAATAGCGGACAAGTTGTGGGATGACTTCCAAGCTGGACTCCTTTGACATTTGTGATTGTACTTCGACTTATTTGATATTGAAGTATGTACTAGTATCAGGAAATTTGGCAGATTCTCATTTTCAGGTCTAGTAACCAACTAAACAGGTTTTCATTTTCAGATTACAGTTTCTAGTTTCACAAAAAATCTCAGCTAAACAGGTTTTCAGTGTCAGGTTTTCAGGAATCGTTTTTCAGAAAATGGCAGCTTCCATTTCTCCATATTTCGTTTTCAGTTGCCAAAATGACAGAAAACGGAATGGGAAGTGAACAGGACCTAAGCTTACCCTTACCGATTTCAATTTTATCAATTCATTTCATTAACATAAAAATAAAATTATCTTTTTTCCCCCGTTCATTCCACCTCATTTCCAAGGGATGCTTAGGTGGTGATTGATAAGATTCATGGCGGTTCAGGGACGGATGCTAGAGGTGGTGCGATCCTTTAAGAGATTATTGGTTGGAAGCAACAATTTAGCGATTTCTCGATTCGAATTGGTAGGCAAAACCAAAATGGTGGCTAAAAAAGCCCTTTCATTGTGCCCTATGAGTATTTTAGGTTTTGATTTCCGTCCTTGAACGATTTCGGCGATGTATTCTCTATCTTTCATCTCGGTAATGCAAGTGATCTATTTACTAAAAAAACTCCTTTATATTGATACATATATTTTCCTATCGAAAATTTCCAAATCGTTTCATTTTTTAGCTATTATTTATTCACTTACTATATCTCCTATTTTTTCAATCATATTGTGGACACTAGAGTACAAGTGATCGGAAAAACTATAATTATTCACTATGACTATCCTCACTCAACCTATGGTATTTGCTATCCCAACCAATACAATTTGTTCATTAACATTGTTTTGTTGTTTGTAGGGGATATCATGACCTCTCACTCTTCTTCCCAATCTATCACCATCACTACTTTTCCCACGCAATCTACAAATGACATCAACACTAATGAAGCTAAGAATTCACAAAAAGCTACCAAACGTGTATCCTAGGAATAAAGCAGCCTTAAACAAAATTTGAGCATTCACATAGAAAATTTGAGGTATTATGACAATAGAGATAAGAAATTAATGCACTTTCGATCATAATACATGGGTCTAAAGTAGTGTATTTCGTGTGTCATCAAATAATCCCACACTTGAACTTTGTTTGTTCCCATGCAAACCAAAGTTCACAAACATATTGAACTTTGCTTGTCCCCAGCAAACCTAAGTTCACAAACGTACATCTTACTATACCTCTAAGATGACATGTGACTTTTGATTTAGGTAGTTGATCATAACGAGTTTACAAGGTCAACACTCGCACTTAGAGATTCATGACCTTGGCGATGAAGTGCGAAACGTACTTTGTAAGGATGACAGATTCATCTATCACGAGATTCAATCCTATTCCTGAATCGAGTCTTTCTAAGGACTTGGGGCAAAACAGATGAAGCTTGATCAAGCGTTTAAGCGCATCCCTACCTTGTGATATTATTTTTTTGAGAGTTCTTAAGTGTTCCCTCTATAGCATTGGTGATTTAAACAATCAAGCATTGAACTTATACTTGTATGGATGGTTGATCAATCCTCTCATACATGAATAAGTCAATAGGATATCACAAGAAAGTTGTTTCCTAATATACTACAAAATATTATAGACAATGCATATAGTAGCATCCAATAGAATCATAAATATTGGAATATAAACATCTATGGCAACATAAATATCGAAATACACAAGTAACCATAGACAATCATAACACCAAATCATGGAATGAAATAGTCATATTATAATGAGTTCACATTCCTACTTAATTCATTCGAAGTAGCTATACATAGAAGAGAAAGAGGGTACCACCATCGATGATGACATCATCTACTTGACTGCACCCCCTCGTATGGATGCTAAGCTATCCACTCGAATAGAGTCCTAATAGAAGTTTATAATGAATTTTTGTAATGTGTGTACAATTGAGGCCTAAAGCTCTATTTATACTACATACATGAGGGGTTATTCTAGTCTTTTTCCTCCTAATGTCGAGCAAAACCTTCATTGTATGAGCGTGCCTCGAATTCTCTAACTTGGGGAAGAAAAAAGGACCTTCTAGAAGCTTTTAGGACTTGGAAACCGAGCAGCGGTCTAGCGGCAGTACCCATTGTCGCCTCTTTTCTTATTGGGTTTGGTTTCTTGTGGACCAAACTACCTCTCCATGCAATTTGGGCTTCGGCTGAGTGCTTTGGGCTAGTGGTGATTGGACCCATCCGCTATCGCCTTTGGTTCCTTCTCTAGATTGGCTTATTTTTCTTCTAGTGGGCTTCTCTTGGGATCTAGTTGAGACTTCTAGAAGACTCCCCTCCTTTAGGCTTCGTCTTATAGGTGAAAACCCCTTCAACTTCCTTTGTTCCTCCATAACCTTCTAAGCTTGGATTCAAAGTATTCTAGGTTGTGTTTTATCTTAAAAACCATAGAAACATACCGAAAAATGCATAAAAAGGTACAAACACTCAATCTAGGTCTAATAGTTGCTCGTTGATCAAATAGTTATGATATCCATTTGGAATTAAGGGATCGTTTGCATAAAAGGTACAAAAACTCAATTTAGGGCAGATTCATTGAATCCGTCGATTTTGTAGAAAGTTATGTTTTGTTGTTGTTTTTTATATTATGGATTTTAGGTTTAGAGATTTCAAATCTCTAAAATCTATGGATATCAAATCTCTCATAATCAGAGAGATTCTATATCTTGATTCGTGAGGATTTTTTTCACCTACCTTTTCTCTTTCATTTATTTATTTATCATATTAAATATATTTATCAACAAAGTTTTTAATATTTGTCGAACCACTCTAATTTTTTATTAAGAATAAACATGTTATTTAATATAAAATTAACTTTTATATTTTTATTGAATGTTAATAATCATAGTTATCAAACAATAAACATTTTAAAATCCATTTTCAACAATCCAAAGAGTTAGAATCTTTAGATTGTTGACAATCTCTAGATTTAAACTCATATTCTCCAAACGACCACTAAGTAAAAACTCCTAAAGATACATTGATAGAAGGGGAAAATGTATAAAAGGACAAAAACTCCTGTACAATTAACCTCGTGGGACGGAACCAAACCGCCCTGCGCGTGCAGAGCACTCCCCCTCCACGCGCCACTTCCAACTCCGACAGTAGGCAATTAATAATAAGAAAAAATTATGTTCAGTTAAATTTTTTAGGGGTCGTTTGCTTCAAGGATTTGGTACATGGATTTGGTACCAAAAAACCAACTATCAAGGATTTAGGTACAATCCGTTGTTTGCTTGCACCTTTTTTGGAGACCAAATCCGTGGGGCCCACGGATTTTAAGGGTCCAAATCCGTGGACCCCACGGACTTATAAATCCCACATGTTGATGTGGGATTTGGAATATGACATAAATTCTTGATGAGATTTTACCCATATACCCTCATGCACTTTTAATATTCCAAGGTTGCCCTCAAATTTAACTATTATACATTATAATTAACAATAAATGAATAATATAAACGTTCAATTAATGTGCAAACATGAGTTAGATTTTTTTATATCATTTCTTGTGTTCTAGTTTTCTTTGACCTTTTCATGGAACGTGTAATTTTTTGTTCTCCCGATTCTAATATATGTCCATGTGGCAACATTATGCTTATTAGTATGTATTGTCTTTGTTTTGTGTACATATCATAAACATATCAAACATATAGAAAATTATAGGCAAAATACACTTGAGTAGCCAAAACTTTGACGTTTGTGACAATAATAGCCACTTTTGGAGAAATACCAATAATAACCAGAATTTTCAAAGTTTCATGACAAATATAGCCATTTCCGTTACAAACTTTAACGGTGTTATTAACACCGTCAACTTATTTGACGGTTCGCTGACTAGGCAACAACTCAGCGGACATGTTATTGCCAAATAAGCGACACGTCAGATATTTCAATTATTAATATTTACACATAATAAATTAAAAAAAAAAAATTACCCTCATAATTCTTACTTCGCAAGACCCATCTTCCCAGCTCCATCGTCTTCCCCAGCTCCGGCGGCAACAGTCAACCCACCCGCCCACCGAGTCTGCCGCGGATCCCCTTCTCGTCCTCTCCGTTCCTCCTGTGGGCAGCAAATTCCCAAAATCACCACCACCACAACTAACTCATCTCTCTTTCTCACTTTCCCAAAATCGCCTCCAATTCTGTACTACCGAACTTCCCAATTCGAAAACCCTAACACCCTTACACTAGCACCAGGAGGTAAAAAGCCGAAAAGATGGAAATGGAGAAAGCTAGGGAATCAAACCAAGCCCAATTCCATGTGCGACTCCACTCCAAACTTTGACCACCTGTCAACGAAGCCGTCGTCGACGCCGCCGAAGTCGTCGTCTACTCCGCCTCCTGAACCACCGGCTCCTCCTCTGCGGCTATCGGATTCTCGATCTGGTGCTCGAGTGGTGGAAGAGGAGTCTCGCCACCACTGTCGATTTCACAATCACCCACCGCTGTGGAACGTCACCCAGCTCACCGACTCGTTGCAGACGAGTCCCGACGACATCATCAGCTCCGCGAACCAGCCCGAGTCAACCCCTTCCACCTTATTCCTCGAGAAATTGATCCCCTGCCGCCGCAGCAGCTCGATGGAGTCCGGCGCGTGGGAGTCACTCTCCACGTCGAAGTCCCTGAAGTTGAACTCCCAGATGAACCTCTGCCTGCCTCCGGTCCCTAGATCCGGCAAGTTGCCTTCGGAATCGGAGAGGGTGAGGCCGACCTGGATGAGATTGAGCGCGTCGACGTTTGATTTGAGGATCTCGTAGTGGTCGGAGGGGTTCCTCTGCTGGTAGAACGGCTTGGTCTGGGTAGGAGGGGGGGGGGGGGGCGGAAGACGACGCCGGGGAACTCGGTGTCCATGGAGATGAAAGGGAAGTCGTCGATGGCGCCGCGGATGAGGGAGAGAGAGAATATAAAAAAGATTATTTTTTATTTTTACGGTTAATTCCACCTCATATTTTTATTGACCAAAACATTGACATTTCAGCTTTTCCGTTAGTACAGTCAGCACGTTAACTAACACCGTCAAACAATTGGACGGAAGTGGCTATTTTTGGTATTTCGTCAAAAGTGGCTATATTTGGCCAAACCGTCAAAGTTTTGGCTATACAAGTGTATTTTGCCAAAATTATAGTAAGGTAATTTTGAAGTTTTGTCCTTGTTTTGTGTACATATCATAAACATGTCAAACATATAGAAAAGGAGAGTAATGTAATTTTTTACTTCAAGTAGTAAATCCCACACCTTTAAATTCATGATAAAAGCATCCCAACAAACAAATGATTGTTACAAATCCATGATGCCTCAAATCTTTAATAAATCCTTGAGTTTTTAAATTACAAAACCCTCATTTTTAAATCCACGAAGCAAACCACCCCTAGTGGCCATTTTTTTAGCGGCCAATTAATTCTAACGGATTAATTCCCTAAATACACATTAAACTAAACCAAATTCCTAAACTACCACACTTATAAAAAAAATTCCCAAAATACCTAAGTTTGGAGTGGTTCGAGTTTGAGGAACTCGAACTACTAACCGGTTCGAGTGTAGAAGACTCGATCTACACGTAAATCGATGATATAAGCCTCGAACCATGTGGGGCTGAAGTGGTTCGAGTTCAGTGAACTCGAACCACTACTTTGAAATTTCCAATCACCATAACTTTGTCCTCGGTTATCCGATCGTAGCAAACTTTTTTTTCATTTCGCATAACTTTTCGAGGACTACAACTTTTATAATAGAAATATTTTCAGAATATATGTGAAAATGTGAAAATTAAAGTTAAAGTTACTCCCAAAACCCCTTATATTAAAAACTATTCCTATTTTGAAAATTTATTCCTAGTAAATGTTGTAGTACTCAAAAAATTATGCAAAATAAAAAAAAACATTGCAACGTTTGGATTACGGAGCACAAAGTTATGATCCTCTAAAGTTTGGCAAAATCGAAAAATTGCTCGTTTAGGGGTAACAAATGACATTTTCTCGGGGCGAAGGCACATGAATTTTTTTTATATATAGGAAATTTCTGCCAAAAGAGCAATATTTTTACAAACAAGACATTTTTGGATGGCTATCTTAGAAAACGTCATTTGCTACCCATAAATTAAACGAGCAAATTTTCAAATTTGTCAAACTTTGGAGGATCATAACTTTGTGCTCCGCAATCCAAACGTCGCAAAGTTTTTTTTTATTTTGCATAATTTTTTGAGTACTACAACATTTACTAGGAATAAATTTTCAAAATAGGAATAGTTTTTAATATAAGGGGTTTTGGGAGTAACTTTAACTTTAATTTTCACATTTTCACATATATTCTGAAAATATTTCTATTATAAAAGTTGTAGTCCTCGAAAAGTTATGCGAAATGAAAAAAAAGTTTGCTACGATCGGATAACCGAGGACAAAGTTATGGTGATTGGAAATTTCAAAGTAGTGGTTCGAGTTCACTGAACTCGAACCACTTCAGCCCCACATGGTTCGAGGCTTATATCATCGATTTACGTGTAGATCGAGTCTTCTACACTCGAACCGGTTAGTAGTTCGAGTTCCTCAAACTCGAACCACTCCAAACTTAGGTATTTTGGGAATTTTTTTTATAAGTGTGGTAGTTTAGGAATTTGGTTTAGTTTAATGTGTATTTAGGGAATTAATCCTTAATTCCTTCATCTCTTCTTACCAAAAAAAAAACATTCCTTCACCTCTATAGTCTATAATCACCACTCACCATTCCCTCTTAACCTCTCCCGCGAGGTTAATTGTATAGAAGTCGATGTTTCTAGACTTGCGTGTCTAATTAGTTGTGTGTTTAGTTGTTTGTTTTCGTCATTGATGTCATATTAGAAGTTAATTTTAATATCCAAATTAAAAATAATAATATCGAAATGTTCGTTTTAATTAATTATTACCACATATATAAATAATGAACAAAATCCCTTTTGGTGGGGCTAAAATGCCAAGTCCATCCCCAGTTTTGGAACTTTTTGAGTTGCTATTGGAAATAGTCTTAGGGGTCGTTTGGATGAATTAATTGTCAATGTAATATTTGTAGAGTCAAATAACTCATGAGTTTTTCATGTGGTATTTCAATGGTAATTTGACATATGATATTTAAAATATCTCGTTAGGGTGAACCATTCATATGTGCTATTTGACAATAACATAAAGGTAAAATGAGTTATTTTTAAATAACACGAGTGTAGAAGTTATTTTGAGTTATTTGAGTCACAAGTACTCACCTAAGAACCTCATCCAAACGACCTTTAAAGGATTTGAGAATGGCAACAATTGTGTGGGATCGAGAGAGATAGTATTTTTAAATAACAGTAAGAAAAACCGATCATACACATTCATGGGTCGATATGCTGAGATCACATGACGTCGTCGTTTTTTTCCTTCTTCTTTTTTCTTTGTGAAATGCACTTTTTCTGATTTTCTTCTTTGTCTAACTCTATATTTTGAAATTGGAATTCTAAGTTGAACATTGATGTTATAGAAGTTATACATTGAATCCAAGTACGTTATGTTGTTTTGGTGAAATATTTATATTATTAATGTGTTAGATGAGATTGGATACAATTTATAAATATATGAATAATATAATGACTTTTTCATATATCAAACTAAACTAGACTAAAGTGATCGGGCCATTAACTATCAACCCGACAACCTTGTAAGCGACTCACCACTTGCACATTTGACAAGATACATTCTATATCCGACTGTTTATTATTCAAAGGATTAAATAAAATGCGCAGCTAACTATTATGATTAAATTATTCATATTCGACTTTAAAATATGGTGACATGTAAACCCAAATCCATATTGTGCGGTGTCATAATCCTCCTACATATGACTTGCCTCCCAAGTAATTGGAGCTTCTTAGTAGCCCCTTGGATGTGGCGGTGCAAATGAGAGGCGCCACATCCAACAGTCTTCGCCTTGCCAAAATACGACTAGTGAATATGCTTGCTTGGAGCCCAATCAATAAGTACTTGCTTATATACAGTATAACAATTGACCACCTCACAACTTTGCCTGGAATTCATTGACTTTAGTGATCTATATAATATAATAATTCACATTTGACCACCTCATAACTTACCCGAAAATACAAAGAGAATGTATTCATTGACTTTACTGATTAATCAATTATATTTTTAAGGAAAGCATCAGATTTATAAGGCATCGCTAATAATAATAAACATCTAATGATGTAAGATACATGCTTTTGAGAACTCATATTTTAAATGTGGTATTTGTAAGAAATCGCGCCAACGTATAATATTTGGTTTGCAAGAGTTATGATGTTGGATGCCAGATTGATGGATGAGTTTTTGAATGTCTTTTGAGTTAATCCAAATCATTCATCAAAATAAAATAGAACAATAATGTAGAACAATCACTTTGAAATCCTTTCTATCAACACGCAATTCCCAAATTTCATTTTCATCATTATGAAGAGTAACTTGCAAGTAAGAAGTAAAGAAACCATAAGCCAAAAGGCCCGACCCATGCATCTGTTTATTTTACTTTATGGGCCCATACCAGACCACTCCGTGCTGCCCAAGCCCACAAATCGAGTTGGCCCAAGAAAGCCAAAACCCTAGATTGGGATTTGGGTGGCGTATATAAATTCTCCGCGAATGCTCGTTGATACGCTCTCGGTTCGCAGCTTCTGTAGAAGGGAGGGAGAGGAAGGAACAAGAAGACAACCATGGTGTCGCTGAAGCTCCAGAAGAGGCTCGCCTCCAGTGTTCTCAAGTGTGGCAAGGGAAAGGTCTGGCTCGATCCAAATGAAGTCAACGAAATCTCCATGGCTAACTCCCGTATGTTCGTTCTCCCTTCGTTTTGTTGTCATTTCGACCTGTTTCGGATTTCTCTGGCTCGATTCCCGTTCAAAAGTTTTGAATACAGGGATAAGATTAGGTAAGTGGTATGCGGATTTGGGCTTCATCTAGTTTCTTGATTTATGTGTGATTAGGTTTTTGTGTGTGAGAGTGATTGACTGTAGCGATAGTTAGCTTGAGGGGTAGACGGAGCTAGGTGGAGCTCATTTTTGCAAATGTCATGAGTCGCCCAGTTTTCACCACTTTTTCTATCTGTACCAGTATTGTGAAATTTGGGATAATCTCCTTAGCTGTGTAGAATCAGATATTGTAAGCTGTACTTAGTGTGGGAGAAAGACATCACAAAGCTGTAAATGTTGAAACTTTTTGTTGATTTTTCAATTTTTTATTGAGGATTTAGTCTGATATGACATTCTTGTTACTGTGAACAGTATGAATGACTTCTTGTTCGTTGGGAGAACCCATTAGTCAATTCCTAATGTAGCTATCGGATTGAGCTTGTGGCTGATCGGTGTCTGTGTGTTCCCTGTTTGTTATCTGCAGGCCAAAACATCAGGAAGCTTGTCAAGGATGGTTTCATCATCAGGAAGCCAACCAAGATTCACTCCCGCTCTCGCGCACGTCGTATGAAGGAAGCCAAGAGGAAGGGACGTCATTCTGGATATGGTATGAATTTCCTCCATTTGTTATTTTTCTGAAAGAAAGTTATTGTTTTGCTGATTTAAAACTTGTAGTACCTGTGAATATATAGTTGCAAATCATTCTTTACTAAGGGATTTGTTGTTTGAAATGATTTAAGGTAAGCGCAAGGGTACCAGGGAGGCTAGGCTTCCAACTAAGATCCTCTGGATGCGAAGAATGCGTGTTCTTAGGCGCCTCCTCCGCAAGTACAGGGAAGCAAAGAAGATCGACAAGCACATGTACCATGACATGTACATGAAGGTTAAGGGTAATGTCTTCAAAAACAAGAGAGTGCTCATGGAGAGCATCCACAAGTCCAAGGCTGAGAAGGCAAGAGAGAAGACGTTGTCAGATCAGTTTGAGGCCAAGAGGGCAAAGAACAAGGCTAGCAGAGAAAGGAAGTTTGCCAGGAGGGAGGAGCGTTTGGCCCAGGTCAGACATTTACCCCGTGACAACTGTTTTTGTTGGAATCTTGTTAATGTCTTTCATACTGTAATCCTTTCACAGATAAAACTGTAAATTGTCAACTTCTGGTTTTTATATGTTTGTTACTTCCTAAACTGTACAGGGACCAATGGCTATGGAGAAACCGGCTCCTGCACCAGCTGCTGCTGCACCTAAAGCAACTGAGTGAGCATCTGTTAACCGAATGCTCAATGAAATAGTTATATTTGAATGTGTTTAGACCATGTCAATGATGTTCCATATCCTTTTCCTTCTTGCTGGTGCAGGGTTCCAACTAAGAAATCCAAGAAGTGAGATTCCTGGACAAGTTGATGAAGGTTTTGGGAGTTTTGTTTCATCAAAGTTGTGTCTATTTTGTTTTCCGTAGCAGCAGTGTAGCTCTTACGCCTTGGTTCTTCAAGGCAGTTATGTTTTTTTTCCGTTGGATTATGTTTGTATGGACCATTTTACTTGCTACCCTACTAGACTGGTAAAATATATTTGCAGGTTTTACAGATTTATGTAAAATGCTGTTGTTATGGTCTTGGTCTTGAGGATCGAGCTTGTCTCCCCCATTGCATTACTTCTGTGGATGGTCATTTTGTTCTCAGCGATTTGGGCTTTGATTGGTGACCTGGCGATGGTTAGTTCTAAAGTTCAGTTGTATGGCCTAAACATCAGTGGCAGCTAGGGGTGAACAAACACACCCGCAAACCGACCCACCCGTCCAACCCAACCCACCTGTATTTATCGCTAAATCGAAGGTTTTGGGTTGGGTGAGGGTTTTCTTTTGCACAACCCGCCTCTTTTGGGTTGGGTTTGGATTTTGGATTACACAACCCGTAGAACCCGACCCAACTCGTGTTCCAATTATTTGTATGAGTTCGTACCCAAAAAATATTTATGTCGTATATAGTCATACTTATGAGAAAATTAAGATATTTCGCCATGTTTTTCTCTTAAAGTCTCACTAATCTAATGCATTCTTCGACTTAAAGTTTAGACATATATTTAATGATTCACGTAATTTTTTTTTTCTTGTGTACAATTTTAAAAGAATATCATATTATGGATGCGTTTATTTGTAACCTTTTTAGCCTATTTCAACAAATGTCGTGAAAAAAACTAGACATAAGTTGAAGTAAATCAAATTTTATTAAAATTAAAACCTTATTTGTGAATTTTGATACTTTTCACCTCGGTTTATTCGTTTGAATTTTTAATTTGTTATAAAATATTTTTATGATGTAGAATAATTACATATTTTGTGTTAGGTTGGGTTTTTACTTAAAAATATCGCCAACCCGACCCAACCCAATTAGAAACAAACCGTAGGGTTTAGATTTTTTTGGGTGGGTTTGGGTTTAATATTTCCCAAACCGTAGTGCATGGGTCGGGTGATTAAAATGCCTAAACCCGAACCACCCGACCCATGTACACTGTCACGGCCTTACTCTTGGTCGTGCGGCCCTAGCCCTCAATTCCGTTAGAGATGCTAGGCAGCCTTCTCACAAGCTCTCAAACTCACTCAACTCACAAGAACAAGACACAAGAAGATGGGAGAAACTCTATAGTTGTATTGCTCACAAAAATGATGGATGAGTTACAAGTGAGGGAGATGGCTCCTTATATAGGCCTCTCCTCATACAAGGCATCAATGCCCCTCATAATGTCCCTCTACTACATCAATACACCCCATAAAGTCCCCCCATAATGCACTCTATTAATACTACCATAATGTAGCCCATAAGTGCACCATTAAGCTCTCATTTAGGTGGAGAATCCTAGGAGCATCTCTATGCTACTAGTCTTCGATACATGCCACATGTGCAGCTGCCTTGTTGTCACCTTGTTGGCGCCATGTCAACACCCCTAGACTGGCAGCATTCCAATTGCTCCAGGGAGCTCCGCCTTACGTGAATTGCACAAGTGGCGATCTCATCATTGCAGGACTCATTGGTCATTGCTTCAAGATTTGCAGTGTAATCCGAATGTGCTAGTCATCTTAGTGGAGATGATTTCTCGATCATCCCTGCGCTATTTGATGGATGTATCCAAGTGTTGATCAAAATTTATGCAGAGTATAGACTGGTATTGGTATGCCCAACTTTTGACACTACGAATAATAATAGCTCAAATCTTTTTCCAAGATAACAACAGTAGTGGTCATCCGCTAGAATTTCATGCAAAATATTTGTTGTTAGTATTGGAAATTTCATGAATTGTTTTCAAGTTAGCAGAAGCGTTAGTGTTGATTTAAATCTACAGGTGAAAGTATTTGTTTTTACTAGAATACATTACAAGCTGGTTTACAAAGAAGAAAACTGAAAGCCAAACTTGTCCACATTTCCCTCTCATTCCAATGAATTACCGTAAGGATTGTCAATCTATTATTTTAGGATTGTGGTTGGGATCAAACTTTGTTCTGTTAGGAGTGTTATGGGATTGACAATGTGACGAAATTGCTAGGTTATAAACAAGTGTTACACATAACAACTCTTCACTCAGACTCTATTAATGGTAACCTGAAAATGATTAATGTGGAAGTGAAACCTATTATCTCATACTATTTTCAGGAAACTCAATTTGGATATATGAAAAATGGGCATTGAACTTTTCATAGTTCTTCTTGCCAAATGATCATTAAAGTTAAATAGGATATCAAAGTTGTGGATGCTTAATATACATCGTTTCTAGATCATTTGGAGGGCATGTTTTGACAATACCTTATAATTTGCCCGGTTTGACGTTAGATTGTGTTCTTTTGACATATTTGATATGTAGCATTAACATGTCTATGGGTCCATTATGGGTGATGAAGTGGGCCCATCGTATTATGCTTAGAGGGTGGGGTTATTATTGTTATCATGGGTTGATTAGTCAAAAAGTAGCTAGCGGTAGAGTCCAAGTAGGAGTGGAGAGGCCGATGCCCAGGGTTGGGTAGGTTTACGGTTTATTTCATCATTACAAAAATATGTACTTTGTTCTTTGATTTTCATTATCGAATAAGAAGTCAAGTATCTAGTAGTAATTTAGTTGTAGATCTATCGTGTTTCTCAGTATTTCATAGAGACGTTCAAAATTTACTATGCGTGAATTCGATCATGCGTCAATTGATTTCAAAGTCTGGTTCGATAGGCTCAGAATGACCCTCCAAGGACGACCTTGATTGCTTGATCGAGCTGACGGAAAGTGCCTTGGCTTCCGATCAAGCTTTACAGGAACAAATAATTATAATATGTGGAATAGGATAGTCTTGGTTGTTCGAAAAGCAAAAAAAAAAAAAAAAAGTTGGTTCACCAGTGGATCACTGCGACACCAAATCCATCATATGAAAACTACCCTGCTTAGGAACATAGCAACACCGCTGTTCATTTCATGATCCTTGGATCTCTCGATCCAAGTCTGGTCAATAGTGTTTCTAGTCAAGACAATGCTAAATTAAAGCTCTATTGGGAAGAATTAGTGCAATCTTTACCTATCCCTAACTGTGTATGTGGTTGAATATAGATGTAGAGATAATATAAGAGAGAAAAAATTTGTGACTAAGTTTATAAGTGGTTTAAATTTTGCTGATTATCTATGTAGGCTCTAGAAACTGCTTTGCCATATTAATTCTCCATACTCACCTGGTCCAAGTATGACTTCTCCATCAATAACACAACAACATCCAATAGTTAATTCAATAGGTAGATACATGTTAGTAAATCTGGATCATAGAGGTAAACTCATTATACCTAAATACATCATCATGCATCCTATGGAACTTGTAAATGTTAGTTTCTAGACACTGATGCTAGAGATCATGTCACTTGTTCGTTGTCCATTTTTGCTAGATGTACCGCATCCATAATGTTTTCATTACTTTACCTAGTGGTTTCAAAACCACTGCTACACACCCTGAAACTGTGAAGTTAGTATATGGATTGATGGGTGATGATGTGTTGTTTGTCCCGACCTTTTCTTTCAACTTAGTGTCAGCACTAAGTTCTTACCAATGTCACTTACATTGAAGTCAAAATCAGTAATATTCAGGACCTTCTCACTATGAAGAAGATTGATTTTTCCCAAGAGATTATATGTCTTTACCAGCTTACCAATTGTACGGAAAACCACACTATACATGCCAATTCTCTTAAGTCACATAACCTGGCCTCTTTGATCTTTGGCACTAAAGACTTGGATACCCCAAACAATATAGAACAAAAGAGTTCACCAAATGGTGTACCTAATATAGAGATTAAGTTTTGCCAATTTGCTAAACAAAAACACCTTCCTTTCCCTTCAAATCAGTATGCTACTCATGATGCTTTTGATTTATTCATGTACACTTTTGGGGTCCTTGGGCTACCTCTAATTACAATGAATCGTTACTTTCTTAACATTACGAATACTAAATTTAGATGCATTTGAGTGTATTTAATGAATTTAAGAGTAAAATTAGGAAATTTTTACAAAATCTATGTGCAATGCCTCAAAGGCAGTATGAGAAATTTGTCAAAATAATCAGATGTGATCAACGATAGAGATTTCATACTCCAGATTGTTACTCTCGACAATAAATTATCCATCAAGTGTCTTGTGTGGAAACTTCACAAAAAATGATAGTATTAGAAGGAAACATCGAAACATCCTAAATATATCCGGAGCTTTACATTTCAAATATGGCTTGCATCGCAAGTTCTAATCAGATTTCATTACTCATATAGCATAATTGTATCATTTCCAATTGGGTCTGACCCGTTTTGCAATCTAAATGAACTGATTTGCAAAGAAACATATAGCATAATTGTTTAATATAGGCTTTGAAAAACACGACTCCCTATGAATGAATTCATGGCAGTCCCTATGGGTTGTCTCACATTTGTGTCTTGGGTGTTTATTTTATACAAGTTATAGTGTATCACACAATAGGACTAATTTCTTCCCTCTAGAGCATGCCATTGTGTTTTCTCCAAAGATTGTGAAGCCATACAGGAAGTTATACTGAAAAAAGTCAGTGGTTGAGTATCTTATATTCAAACTGTGGTTTAACTATAGTTCAACTATTTCCTAATTCTTGAACCGTTTATCGTTTTGGGTCAATCCAATATTTTCGGTCCAACCGATCGGTACGATAGCGTTTCTCAAATATTGGTTTTTCCCTTTAGGTATCAAAGAGTATAAATTACTCGATGTACATTACTTGAAAAGACTTATTTTCCGGAGATGTGATTTTTCATAAACACATATTCCATGTTTATCTTCCTCTCCTCCTCTCCCCCTATTTCAATCATCCCATCGTTGCCAGTGCTAACTGAACCAATTCCACAACCTGCATTAAAATTCCAAACCCTACTACTCCTCGGCTCTGAATCATTCATAATACCCTACTCTAACCACACCCTTACCACCAACAACACAAACCACTCTCCACAGTTAAAACCAGCGATTATGTCATGAATATAGATTCCACCATTGAAAAGCATACACATCCATTGGTTACATGCATATCTTATCATAAGCTATCACTTGGATTTATGAAATTCTCTGTGCAGTTTAGCAGGCAGCTGTACCCATGAACACTAGATGCTAACTAGACATGTCAAGTGGTTTCACGATCACGTGGGTCTTCACCATTAAGTTTAATCCAAAACGGTCATGTTAACTTCACCACTAGATGCTAACTAGACTCGTTCGTTATACAATTAAAATCAGTTGTGAATCCAATTGATACGAAGAAACATTTTTTATTTTTTGTAGATGATGGATATTTACATGATGACCTTGGACTGTACAGACTCGTTCGTTATAACAAATGGAATGACAAGTGGACGGGAATCGATTGCCCCTAAGAATCGATTGCCACTAATCTTCTTCCTCTACAATATTTCATAGACTCGGCCATGAATCGATTGCCACTAAGAAAAGCTGTATCTTCCTTGTTCATCGGTTGAATTCCTGTCAAACAACATTAATATGTTTTCGAATGGCATTGACCGTAACATATAAATCTATACCAGTTTTGTAAGTCAAGATAGTTCTGCCACTGTACGGTTCTTGATATCTTTCCATGTAAAAAGGCCTGGAGAGTGGTCACTTCAAATTCACGTTAGTCATTCATGCTCAAGCAACTGATGTTTTTAGACTACTTTAACAAACTCTGCTGTTTCTACCACAATACGAAATCCCACATCACAAAATGCGCCAAAGATACACAGGAACAGAAAGTTCACAACTCTACCAAGTACCAAACATCCCAAGTCAGGTGTAGAGAATCTCAGCAACATCATCAAATGGCACCAAAATCCTTGGAAGCCCTATCACTGCCTGAAGTCCACACACTTGCCGATTAAATTCCAACGCAGCCTTGACATCAAAATCCTGCTGCATTGTGAATATAATATAACTGTCAAAAGCCAGGTAGAAGGGGCACATCATTCAGCTATTATAACCCATAAGATACCAGCATTCATACTATGCAAAGCAACACAAAAAATTGCCAGTGCTCGGTAATGGTATGCACACAATCAATGACAGAGTTCCACAAGTAACAAAATGCATCCCAAGCAAGACCTAACACCAAGTGAATCAGCGAATGCCTACTGCAGCCAGGACAACATATCCTAATTCTGATGGTCTCTATATAGGTGCTACTGCTACATCAAGAAATGGCTCATGTACCACGCAACATAGCTTGTATGCTTATTCTGCATTGTCTCGGTAGTAAAAACTATAAACACGAATGACAAATACACAAACGAAGAAAGCAATAAGTAAACAAATGCATCAAGCAAATGAACAATCGAGAGTACATGAGATAAACCCACAAGAAGGCACAGAAATCAACCAAGTCAATCCTGGATATAAAACTTATTCTGCTTGCTTACTTTCTTTTGTAACATATGTTCCTATGGGGAACACAATATCAATATTACTGCTCCAACAACTAGGTGTTTTTGAGAGCATATGTAAAGTATTCAAACAGAACATAGTGAATCAATCACTTGTCTAGCGGATACCATTGAATCGATTTGATGTTTTGTCGAACTATGGGGCAAGCTACTGAGACTAAGACGCATGAGTAATTGATTATTAACCCGCAAAACCAACACAACTAACGTAAATCCAAAGAGCAGTACCATGTGAGAAACAATTCCCAATTCGCAAACACTTACTTACTCCTCATTGCTGTTGATTTTGCTGCTGATTAGGAGGAGGCGGTGGCATGCCAGGGCGTGGTGGTCCAAACACACCACCAGGCGGAGGCGGCATGCCAGGACGCGGTGGAGGTGGAGCTTGCATTCCAGGTCTTGGAGGAGGCGGCCCTCTCATCATGGGCGGACCCTGCGGTGGCGGCATCCCCATCGGTCTCTGCGCGAACTGTGGCGGCATAGGGAACCCCTGCTGCGGTGGCCTCTGAGCAAACTGAGGGGGAACCTGCGGCGGAGGACCACGGCCCATGGGCGGTCCCTGTCCAGGGTACTGCACAGGTGGCATCTGGCCCGGTGGCCGGATAACCGGCGGGCCGCCCTGTTGCGGAGGCGGATAACTCATCGGCGGAGCAGACATGTTGGGGACAGGAGGACGCGAGATTTGAGGCTGCATCATTCCAGGAGCAGGACCACCAACTCCGCGAACAGGTCCGGCGAGCCCTGGCTGGGCCTGAATGAGGGGAGCCGTCGGAATACCACGCCCCGCCGCGCGACCAATGCCCGGACCGGGAATCGCACTAGCAGCCACCGACTTAGCGCGCGACTCCTCGGGAGGAGGGGGGCCTTCGACGGTCATGGACACAACTTCCTCGCCTCGGAGCAGGACGAGACCGAGGGTGCGGCGGTCCTCTCGTTCCTCGTTGTTCTTCTTCCCCTTCGCCGGCGGGAGCTTGCGGAACTCTTCGCAGTCGCCCAGGACGAGGTTCATATGGCGGTCGAACGCCATGAACTTACCGACCAGCTGCCGGCCGTCCTGAATCGTGACCCGCATCCGGTAATTGATGTACTGGAGCATCTTCGAGCTCTTTGACATCGACATCTTGGCGATCTAGGGTTTTCCTCCGCCACGATTGGACTCACTAGGGTTTCGAAGTATTTCGGCGGTGAATATCGGCGAGATCTGCAAAAAATTAGCGGGAATTAGGGTTTAGTAAGAGTCTGGAGCGGACCATGGCTTTCGGGTGTCGGGTGTTGAGGGTCTGATCCAGTGCGCTGTATCGGTATGGACCGGCTCCATTGCTCTTTAAATCCTGACCGTACAGTAAATCGAAACCTTTGTGGTTGGGTTTTAATAATAGTTAGTAAAATACGATACAAAAATACGACAATGATACTTTATTTTGACTTAATAGTCTGATTAAAAGGTTCGGCAACAAAAAAATATTTTAAATATACATCAAATAAATTTAATGTGTATAATAAGAATTTTCATCATAGATACGTCAACAAAAATAGGGCTAATACCACTACAACACCCGAACTATTCGAAAAATGCCACTTGTATCCTATTCTTTTAAATATTCCATTCATATCCTGAACTATTATATTTTGTGTCATTTGTATCCTGCCAATTTCGTTGACCGTTAAAGATAACAGTTGACCAAACGGCGGTCAACTTAACATTGACTTTTGCTGACGTGGCAGTGCCAAGTCATTGACACCTCACATTTTTAATTTATATTATATACAACTTTGAAAATAAAAAATTGAAAAACCTTTAAATTCAAGAATATTACTAAATAATAATATTCTAAAACCCCAAAATTCAAATAAAAAAAAATCTCCATTGATTTCGTCGATTGTCCCTCTACTCTCTGCTTGGTGCTTTCCCGTCGATACTTCAACGACTTCGAAGTTGTGGTGGACTGCTCCTGCAGCGATGACGGAAGTGAGGAGGGAACCGCCGTGTGGAAGAGGGAAAGAAAGGAAGAGACGAGGTGGATGCGGCTGGATTGTCGCCGGGAACCGTCGAATCACAAAAAGAGAACCCTCTACCGGGAGCTATCAACACCCAGATTCTGAACCTTGGTCGAATTCATGATGGGGGAGGTCAAGCTGAGAGTACAGGAAAAGTGAATCGAAGGCAGGGGGAGGGGAATCGAAGGTCGTGGGAGGGGAATCATCATTCTCGTCTTCCGCCGTCATTCACCTCGCCCAGCCGAGTCCGAGAATGAGAAAGGCCCCTACGACTGTCATTTGCGTTCCCTAGCCGTCGTTCCTCAATTAAATCTGGTTGCTAGAGGAAGGGTAACCAGAGAGCTAGACCGAGTTATGGTGTTGACGAAGACGATGGGCGATGTTGGATGCAACTAGGAAATAGATCGGTTTGCTTCGATTTGTCACGAGCACCAAAATCCCTCGCGATTTCGTCAAGCCAAGAGAAGCAACCAGGGGCATAATTCTAAGATCTCATTGTCACGAAGCTTCATCCCCACTCCAGTGTTCGTCGCCGTAGAAGAGAGAGGGTGAGGGATAGAGGTCCTTGTGGTTCCGCCGGAGTCGGATTTCAGTCGCTCTTCGAGAACGACGATTCCCCTCCCCGATCTTCGATTCCCCTCCCCCGACCTTCGATTCCCCTCCCCATGACCTTCGGTTCCTCTTAGCTTGACCCCCCCATCATGAATTCGACTAAGGTTTCGAATCTGGGTGTTGATGGCGACTTCCCGGAGAGGGCTCCCGGCAGAGGGTTCCACCAGACGGCAGGAGGAGACGCGGAGAAGGGATTGGGAGGGTTTTCTATTTTTCTATTTTTTTTATTTTTTATTAAATGAAAATTGATAATGAAAATTCCAGGTCAGATGCCACGTCAACGCTGACTGTATTTTCTGTTAAATACTAACGGTCAACGCCAGTCAACACTAACGGAATAATAGTTCAGGACACAGATGGAATATTGGAAACAATAGGACACAAGTGGCATTTTCCGGATAGTTCGGGTGTTATAGTGGTATTAGCCCACAAAAATACGAGCGTGTAAATATATCAAGCTTCAGAAATTATATATAATAGAGCGCATCTACTTAAAAATCAAAATAAATGGATTATAAATCCAATCAAAGAAATCTGTGAAAAAAAAAAAACAAAAAAAAATTTGTCCGACGAGTTGCACATGCCAAAAGAACTTATTATAGAATTATGAAACTATGACCTTCTGTTTCAATGAATATATACACCTATATAATTATAGATGGCGTTTTCGGTTCACTCTTTTTTTTTTTTTTTTGCATTCAGTGCACTCGCTCTATAATCGTCATTTTAAACATGTGATTTATGTCAAAATGATGTCAATCATCACTTATGATGTAATGAACAATAACGCACATAAATTTGCACAAAAACCATTACAAATTTACTTTAATTTGAAGGATTTCGAATTTAGAGATTTAAGGTTAGGGTTTACAATTCGAGGTTTAGGGATAGAACTCAAAACTGGAGGTCTAGGGCTTAGGGTAGTCTGCTCATAAGTTGTTATCATATGTTATATCATCATATTACACTAATTCTACAAATAAAAATTCAAAATCCAACACCTTAAAACTAGTTTTTGAGTTGGGTGCATTGAACAAACTCACTTTTATATATGGTGGCTACTTCGGTGCACTCACTTTTTTGGGTACATTCAATGCACTCAACTCTAAAAGTGGTCATAATACATCATATTTTGAACTTTAATAGGTAGCATTAGTCTAATATGATGTTATAACACAGAATCACAACTAATTAATCTATTACCCTAACATATTAATCTTCAATTTTGAATCTCAACCCAAAATCCCAAACTGTGAACCCTAACCCAAAATTCCTAAATCCTAAATCATTCAAATTAAAGTGAATCTTGAATGATTTTTGTACAAATTAATGTGGTTCTTGTTTATCATACCATAAGTGATGATTGACATCGTTTTCACATGAATCGCCTGCTCAGAATGAGGATTATGAGGCGGGTGCATTGAACGCACCCAAAAAAGTGAGTATATCCATGAAACTCTAGATTGCAATAGGATGATAATTTGAACCCGCCTCGTCGGGTATTACCCGACCTGACCCACGATGGGGCGGGTATTAGCTGACCCGCAGTAGTGTGGGGCGGGGCATGGGTATCAACTTTCGACTTGTCATAACCCGCCTCACCCCATTCTTGACCCTTTCTATGTCAATTTCTTACCCCATCCATTCATATATATCCTATTTTGATTTTTCTTCAACTAGTTAAACTTGATCTTTCAACTAAATAGATTCAGTTACCCATTATATTATCACCATTATTTATTCATAAAGTTTTTTTCCTTTTCATTTTATCATTAAAAGTAAAATTTAGTGTGTATTTTTCTCAAATAGCATATAAGAGTGGGTCGACCCGCCCCGCTCCGTACCCGCGTTGGTATTACCCGCCCCGACCCATACTGTACATGGGTATTGAGGTACCCGCCCGCCCATTGCCATCACTAGATTGCAAGCAGAAAAACAGTAAATTAAGAAGAAAAGAGAATTCGAAAAGTACCTTCAACTTCAAGATTGCAGTTTATGGTTATGAGGCTATCGGCCGGTAATGGTATCAAGTATCTACTTCACTGGGAGATGAGCTTGGAATGGAACTTGGAACTAGTAGGTAGCTGGCTCGTACGATTTTCCTGGATGGGTGATGAACTGGCGGCGAAAAGAAAAAGTTGCAGAGGAAACCTAATTTTGTCTCCGTATGTCAATGTTATTGTTCCGCCGTACGTCAGTTTATATAGGTCGGGTATTCCGTTTAATTGCCGTACATTCGTTGCAATAGTTTGGGCTTGGAATTTACCCCAGCTTGAGCTCGGCTCGTTAATAAACGAGTCGAGCGAGCTCAGCTCGTTTATTAACGAGTCGAGTTCGAGCTAGCTCGTTTATTAACGAGTCGAGTTCGAGCTAGCTTGCTTACTAAAATCTTGACTTTTATTTGGTACTTTATTTTGTATATCATGACACATATGATTTATTTTGTTAGCTAATCTCATATTATACTTTGTTGATATCATATATCATTTAGTTAATAAATTTTAATTACTCCAAATCATGTTATTTCATAGATTGAGGTACATAATTTCTTTTTAAAGTAGAAAATAAGATATATTTGCTCACATACTCAACGTATTAAGCTTATATATAGTGAGATATATAATTTAACAACCATATGTATTAAAATCATAAGATATAGATTGATTCATCCATAAGTCGGTAATCGAGTTGGCTCTCTAGCCACATGTTGAGACATATCATGAGCTCTAAACGAGCCAGCTCACGAGTTTAGCTCAACAAGCCACTGAGTCGAGCTAGCTCGCGAGCTTCACGAGCTGAAAAAAGCTTAGCTCATGTTCGGCTTATTTATTAACGAGCCGAGTTTCGAACGAGCTTTTCTCGAGTCGAACGTCGAGCCGCTCGTGAACAACTTGGCTCATTTGCAGCCCTACATGGGGCTAGTGAAGCAGGCTCTCATATACGGCCCTGTATCTTACGACAAGGGCCGTGTCTAAATCTAAATGCTTGTAAATGAGAACAGTCTAAATTAAAGGATGTTATTGTAGTTAAATTAAAGTCTAGGTACTAAAGAGTAATACGTTCTTTGCACATATATTTTCCTTTCGCTCGTTACCGAAGAGTGTTCATCGCGTATTTGTTTTTGCATATAGCGAGGGAAGGAGTTCAGATCTAGGAGAAAGGAAAGCAATGGCGACGGCACCCGATCACCTCTTCGTTCTGCGCAACAATTTCTACTTGGGAGCCTTCCAGGCTGCAATCAACAACAGCGACCTTCCGAATCTCTCCCCGGAGGATGCCATCGAGCGAGACTGCCTCGTCCACCGCTCTTACATCGCTCTTGGAAGCTATCAGGTTCGTTTTCCTATTGTGAATTCTCTGTTCGTCCCTTCTTGATAGAATCTTCTCCAATCGATTCATGATGTGCGGCGTGGACGATTTCAGCTTGTGATCAGCGAGATCGATGAGAGCGCAGCCACTCCTCTCCAGGCCGTCAAATTGCTCGCCTTGTATCTTTCCAGCCCTGAGAACAAGGTTGGTAGCTTCGCTGTGTAAAGATTACTCTCTCTTCTCCAAGATTTGTGGCTGTTTGGTGGCTTTTGGACCGAGATCTATGTTTGATCTGTTCTTGCCTTTCCTGCATTGAACGAACTACCGGGAGCTGCTTATGGTCTGATTGATAATTGTCTTGAATTTTGATTCCAAGTTTGATCAAATAGGTGTTCTCTGAGTTTGTCATGAGATGGTGGCGATCTGAATGTCTTTTGCCTACTCTGGTAGAATTTGTTTCTGGGTTGGTTAGATATTCATCTAACGGACTACAAATCATTGTCTGTAGTTTTGATTTACACTAGAAAAGCTATATTAAGGTGTCCATGTGGTAGATCTTGCAACACCTACTGCCCATTCATTCAATCAATACATAAGTTGCATATTTATGAGAGTAGAAAGAAATTGAAATGTGCTTCTATTGTAGCTTGTTTTATTGTTGGCTGAATCATGAGTTTTAGGTTGTCTGTTTTAGATCTCGAACCGTTGTAGTTAGTTCTATGCCCCTAACTGGTTTATTGCACAGCAATCTGTAATTTCAAGCTTGAAAGAGTGGCTGGCTGATTCGGCTATAGGAAGCAATGCCATTCTAAGGCTGATTGCTGGAATCATATTCATGAATGAAGAGGACTATAATGAGGGTTTGAAGCACACACATGCTGGAGGCACCATGGAACTGTGAGTTATACTAGAGCTTCACAATTTACCTAATTCAGTCTATTATCTTATGCTTTAATATCTATGTGTAGAATATCTGGATATTCTTGAACTGGCATGGTTATCCATATTGACAGTAGATTAGGCAGATTTGAATTGTGATTGATTTAGATTCCATCCAGTTGGATAACTAATATGAAACATTATGTTCATACATCCATTAGAGGGAGATTAGACATTATGCTTAGTTGTTATTCCTGACCCATGGCGTGATAATATTTCAGGCATGCATTGAATGTGCAAATATTCATCAAGATGCACAGGACAGATTTTGCTGAGAGGCAGCTGAGAGTCATGCAACAGATTGATGAGGACCATACCCTTACTCAACTCGCAAATGCCTGGCTGAATTTGGCAGTTGTAAGTTCTGTGTTCTTTTGGTTGTCTAATGACTCAGGGTTCATTAAAATCATCACATCTGACTATTTGAAGGATTATATATATAATACTTTCTCTACGTTCAACCAGGGTGGTTCAAAGATACAAGAAGCACTACTCATATTTCAAGATTTCTCTGAGAAATATCCCATGACTGGTTTGATATTGAATGGGAAGGCTGTTTGTTGCATGCACATGGGCAACTTTGAAGAAGCAGAGACATTGCTTCTTGAAGCACTAAACAAGGCAAGTTCATCTATGTCCAGAATGATGATGCTATTAAACCTCAGTTTCCTTGAGCCTTAGTATTTTAATTTTCTTGGGGAGCCTTGTTTTTTGCTAGCATGCCCCGAGACCTTCAGGAATGTAATGTTCTGTGCATTTTGGTGATTGGTGCAGGATGCAAAGGACCCAGAAACCTTAGCAAACTTGGTTGTATGCAGTCTTCATCTTGGCAAACCATCTTCGCGTTATCTCAAGTAAGTAGATCTTTGGCCACTTTACTGGATTAGGGTTTTAACCTATTCATCACAAGGCACTGGCTGATTAATAATCAGTTACTGATCTCTTAAGCAATAAAACATGTTTGGCAATACATGTTCTGAACACCAAACTAATTTCTGCATGACGTGAGACGTGGCAAGTTGGAGCGTCATTCTCTTAGTTGTTTTTTTATACTTTTATTTAGAACAGAAAGACAGGTCAGTGACTTTGATTGCAATGATTGTGTTGCAGCCAATTGAAGATTGCACATCCAGAGCATTTGCTCATTAAGCGTGTATCAACTGCAGAAGATAGCTTCGAAAGAGCAGTTCAATCAGTTGCATGAGTTTCGAGTTGAAGAAGTGTCCTAAGAGCCAAGCCATTCTTCTGCTTTTTGGAAAGTGTCCTTATTTTTGGGGGGTTTTGTAACACAACGCAGACCGGAATGTGCTTTACCAATCGACTTATATTTTTGTCATATACCGATGAATGCTTGCAGTCTCGATTATATGTGTTCAACATTTGAAGGGTCAGTAGTTCTCCACATTTCTGCATGACTCTTTCAGTGCTTGGTTTGTATCTCACATTGTTAATGTCCATGCTCTTAGACATGATAATGTCCAAAATACCTAGTGATTGGCAATTTCGAGTTTTCATGCTCAGGAACTGGTATCTGCAGGTATTGAATTTCGAAAACTTTTAGTGGATCATAACGAAAATTTATCCAGGAGATAAGAAAAACCCCCAAAATGTAGGAATAAGGAAAGCACCCAGCCATCAACAACTAAGACCTAAATGCCACTCTATTGCAGCAGTACCAACAAGTTCTTGTCGTCTCACAAGAACAAGCAAGATGAACAAACCGATGACAGTAAAAACTCTGATGCATCTTTTCCTATATAAAAGTGATGAGTGAAATACAATTGTAAGGGAAACATACAGACGCTGGAAGTCGTAACAAGCGCTTTATAACTTATCAGTTTAATACAATGTAGTCAAAATCACGTTTTGTAACTTATCAGTTTACGCTTTTACAATTATAGGTCACCCAAACGCTTCTACGTAGAAGAACGCATTTCACTAACAAATGAAGTCACAATCTACGCATTACAGCTTAAGAGCTAACGTCTTTACGCTTCTACATAGAATCACGCATTTAGGACAACAAATAGTTTATATCTACGTCCCTGTACCCATTGTCATCACTGCCATTTCTGTTTGTGAATAAACAAGGAGAAGATGGAGGTAGAATGAACTGTAGAAGCCCTATTATATTGGATGAGCCTGAGGATACATAAGCATCATCATCGTATTATTAGACTATTACCTGTTCCCGTACAAGTAATGAATCGGCAACTCCTACATCTCCCCCTCTCTATATGTAAATCGCATGACACCAAGTATAAAAAAATATTTAGGAAAAAATTATAGGAATAAAAAAGCCTCTCCTTCCAATTGAGAGAGAACCCCTCCTCTGCTCTAAGAGAAATGACGAATAAACAGCATTGCAACCCAGGTTGGTGCTGTGGTATGGAGGAGAGGGTTCTCTCTTTGAAGTTAAATGTTGCTAGTGCTACCCATTGTATTGCAAGTGCTGCTCGACCGAGTGGGAGTGCTTCAAGAAGCCATCACTGAAGGGGTCCCATACCCATCTCGGTGAGCCTTCTGCCATCTCCATGCAACCTGCAAACTCTCTTGCAGGTCAGTGTAACGTGCCGTCCAGTTCAGTTCATTCCTGATCTTAGTAGGGTCACTGTACACCTCAGCATAGTCCCCAGGCCTGCGTGGCAAATAATCAACCTTGATGGCAACTCCAGTTGCCCTCTTACAGGCCTCCACAAACTCTTTCACTGATCTACCTGAAACAGACAGAAAAGACCCAGTTCTGAAATATGCTTGGAAAGAAGATTTTTTTTTTTTTTGTCTATTTTTGATACAATAGGTACAACAAAACCCTACCTTTCCCTGTGCCGACATTGTAGATTCCAACTTTACCGGGTTCGGCCTTTTCCAGAGCCTTCACATGAGCATCCACAAGATCAGTTACATCAATGTAATCTCTTATACATGTCCCATCATGTGTCTTGTAGTCTGTTCCTTTAACCTGTGAATGGAAGAATATAGGGGGGAGTGTTGATGGGAGTGGGACATTCCAAAAACATCACGACGACTACGAGACTACTAGGCCTAGGGTATTGAACTACACAGGATATCACATGATTTACTTACCTTCAACCCTGGCATGATTCCGCGGGCTGCATCGAAACAAGCACCAGAAATCCTTCCATGCTCACGCAGCTCAGGCGGTGGAGACTCCCCTAATCTGCCTTCTGGGTCTGACCCAATTACATTGAAGTATCTGAAATGCAACATCAACTTGCTATCTTATTCAAAGCGAAAAAGAAAATCCAAACAAGAAAAATGAAGTCACATCGTATTCATCGCTTATCTCGGCCACACTATGCTAGGAGTAACATGAACTTGGCCTAAAGCCATTTACGTTGCAAGATTATTATTCAACATTCGAAGAGAATTATTCGATCAACAATCAAGTGGAAGATTTGAACAATGTTGTCTTACAAAGGAAGGTGGTAACATTATCAAAGAGAATCCGACAACAAATTCCAACCAAACATGCAAGGGGAAACCCCATAAGTAACAGAAACTTAGAAGGTCAAACACTATTGGGGTTGCAATAAAGGAGATTTCAATGAGTGGTAGCATTTACTGAAAGGGAATACAAACCTCAAAATCATAACTGCCATGTCTGATGTCTTAGAAAAATCAAGGATCATGTCTTCTGCCATCTTTTTGGCTTTTCCATATGGATTGATGGGGACCTGAGTAGATAAATCGGTACGTACCAATGTTAATGTGGTATGCACTTACTTTTTTCCATGTCAATGGGACTCCCATCTAGGACATATAGTTCTGCACATATTATACTGGCCAATTGACAAATCAAGACTATGAGTGTACCTGTGTTGTTTCTTCAGTTATAGGCATCTTTTCAGGTTCCCCATAGGTTGCACATGTGCTAGAGTATATCAGAGTCCTCACATCATGCCTGGCCATCGACTCCAACACCACCAAGGTATTTGATGTAATATTATGGTAATACCTGCAGTGATAACAGTTAGTTAAATAAGGTTTTCTCTTCAGTATCGTTGTTTGGACATACATCATCAACATTATGTTTGAAGCTTCAGGGTGACTTAAGCTTGTTAAAAGTGCTGTCCATGCAGATTGTGCAAATAGGGGACAAAATTAGGTAACCCAACAACCAGTCACCCAACCATAGACATGTTCCTAGTCCTAATGATTGGACAGTCTGATCAAATATTTGAACAAAACATTAGTCCTTCAGCAAATCCACCTTCTCGCATTTACTTGAGTCATTTGAAGAGCAGTAAAGGGTAAGCAAACCTCAAACTATGTCACAGCTGGCTGCAATTACTTTCTATAATCTTAGATGCCTCACTCGGCAGAGCAAAATCAGAAGTTCCATATCATGTAAAAAAGCAACTAGCTGACGGAAGAACAAAATTTGACAGGCCAACTTCAGAAAGCAAAGGATACTTACTTAAGAGGATACATTGTACTTTCCCCAACATATGCAACAGCTGCAAAATGCATCACTGCATCAAAAGCATTCTCTGAAAATATTTTGTTAACCTGCAAATTTTGGTGAGGGAAACAACTATCCACATCAAGTTCCTGTGACCAAAGCACAAGTCGAAAAAACTACAAAAGGAAAGCCAGAAAGGATACCGCTTTGGCATCTCCCAAGTCGGCATATATAAATTGAAGCCTCCCAGGCTCTGGGAACAGTTCTTGTAGGATTTTAACTGCACCAATGTTCCCACGAGAAAGGTTGTCCTGCCATAGCAGATACACAGAAACTAAGATTACAGATATGATAAATGTACGACAAAGAGGAGATAACCATACCGAAGACATGAACTTACAACAATGGTCACCCTGTAACCATCTTTCAGAAGACGTAATGTAGCATGTGAACCGATATAGCCAGCTCCACCGGTGACAAGAACATGAGTAACTCCTTGTTCACGTAATGAGAACTGGACAATAAACAACAAAGAAATTAGAAAATGCCTCACTTAGATATCAAATTAAGCAATATACTACGATGACCGCAACGGCCAACAGCAATATCAGCAGAACGGAATGCAGTCATGTAACCAGACGAGAATTACCGGGGATGTGTAGTTGAATGAGGATTTCTTGAGAACAAGTATGCACACAGTCGTCAAGATAGCGGCCAAAGCAACCTTTCCCACGAAGTTTCTCTTCCTTTTGGGATCTGCGTAGTCCATGCCTGCAAAATAGTTTCAAAGTAGGGGGACCAGAAACATAAACTTTTAACAACTGTTTCCACGCACCCCATATCTTTCTTCCAACTCCGCAGCATTCCGGCAGTACAGGTAATGGCAATGAGTATTAAAACGACCAATTGGAAATGGTAGAGAAAGAAAACGAACCTCCTAAATTCACAGATCTACTGGGCCTAGACTGAGTTCTGGTCCTTCCAATACTTTGCATCTGGAGAAGACGCACACTCCTAACCTCTCAGCAGCAAAATCCAAATGACGCCTCTGTTCTGCCAATTTATGAGGCACGACAAAATCTCTGACGGACACTATCCAGGCAATATCTCTTGCTTCAAGTCTGCAGCAGCAGCAAACGGAAAGCCAAACCATAAGCAACAAATTTATGTAAAACAAGAAAGGGAATGATTCAAATGGGAAGAGCAGATTCAAATTCAAAAGGAAGAGCTGGGCCCCAAATCATTGAACAGAGAGACAGAAAAGCTGACTACCAAAAAAGCATCGAAAGTTACTCTTCTGGGGATGAAAGGAGAAACAGAAAACATCTCAAATAAGTGGAACTAAAAGGAAGCAGCTTCCAGATCCACAGAAGAGCCATCAAACCCAGAAAAGGGAGAAGGGGGACAGAAAAGTAAAGGTCAACCTAAAAATCCAAGCTCGAGCTTCAACTCAGATACAAACACAACGAGAAGCAAAGAGAGGAAGAAAGAGATACAATAGCACTGCAGGCTCATTTGTAGGCATGTAAGGCAAGGCTTTAAAAATGAGCAAAATTCTGATGAACCGCACTTGCCCCCGTTTTCCCAACATCAATACCCTGATATAGAATTTGAAAAAAGGAAATTCCCCACGGGAACGTAAGCTGATCAAATTTACGGAATGCCGGACTTACGGGAAACGGATTGGAAGAGGAAGAGAACAGTTCGGCGAGATCCAAAAACAACACAGCAAACTTTGAATTGCATTGAAACAAAAAATCAAATCAAATCGCTATCACCTCTCAGGCGCACCAAATCAAACACCTGGCGGGCAAAGCAATGAAATTTGCTTTCAGCCAGAGCTAGACCACCTCACCAAAATTGGAGCGTAACCCAACTCCTCAAAAGGGGGATAAAGACAAGGGCAGATGAAAAGGAAACACAATATCCCTCAAAATCATTTAAGAAGCTCCCGGGAAGATCCACACATTCCAGGAGAGGAACGAAAGAAACCTAACAACGAATCGGGAAAGCGAAAGGCAGCTAAAGATACAAACTGGGAAAGAAAGAGTACCATGAGGTCTGGCAACGCAGACTAACATTACCAAAATGAAACCTAAGAAGGGGAAGAATGGCAATGTCAGAAGAAGAAGAATCGAATGCAAGTAAATAGTACCGAAACAGAAGCAGGTGAGGGGCGGAAATTGAGTAGAATCCACGAAGATCGAAAGCGTAAAGAAGAGAAAGGGAAGCAGGCGGAGAGGCGAAGTTGAGGGGGGTGGCAAAGGGAGCAGAGAGAGAGATAGAGAAGGGCAGCAGAATTTGGTGCAGGGGTGGGTGTGAACGTTGACGGGGAGAGAAGAAGAGAGTGGGAGCGAAGATAGGGAGAAGAAAGAAAGAGAGAAAACGTACCAGGACGTGTTAGGGGAGACCGGTTCTTGGTCCAGAGGATGCGTTTTCGAACGTGAACTGTTGATTGGGAAAGAAGAAATTATAACAGAAGCAAAAACAAAGGAAGCCCGAAGAAATACGCAGGAGAAGAAGAGGGAAAAAGAAAGGGAGAGGGAGAAAAGAGCAAGAGACGCAGATAGTTTGTGCTCTGCGATGCGAGAATGCCTCGGAGAAGTACATGTTGTCAACCGCGATGGACCCAAAATTTCTTCAATTTCGTCAATTTTCACCTCTTTGTTTGTTAATCAGGTATCCCAAATAATTACACCTTACATGCAGAGGAAGGATCAAGTGAATAGCATGTATAGAGGTACAAACAATACAAACCTAACAAAATGGAAAAACAATCGGTTTGACTTTAAAGGCCCCATTTTTGTATAGAATAGAGGGGGTTCGTCCAAAAGTTAACTCAATTTTTTATTAGACATACAAAAATTGCAAACATGTTAAACAAAAATGACAAACTATACCGACAAACCATACAAAATGGAAAAACAATCGGGTTGACTTTAGAGAATCCATATCTATATATATGAGTTACGTCCAAAAGTCAAATATGTTGTTTTTAGAGATAAAAACAATTCAAGCAGTTTTGTGGAGATGTTGCTTAACACATGATTTTTTCGGTGGTTGCATTTGTTGAGATGCTCAATTGGTCATCAAGCACGCTATGTCAAAGAACGCTACGCACTCTCATGCAGGGACTGTCTTGGAGGAAGCTCACTCCTTTTTCTCATTTTTTTTAGTCAGTATCGGGTCGTTTTGCTCCTCGGAACTTTCACAGAGCTGCCCATGTAGTGGCTAAGCAGGCTCTCTCATCGGGAATCCACTTGCTTACGGATTACCGTATTTTTTCTGGAGTCCTCCTTGTATCTGAGTCGAGTCTTTGTCTCATGCCCTCTGGGCTTGCCTTGAAAAAAAATATGGTGGAAAAAAATGACAAACTATACAAATAATTCAAACGGGTAAATTCCAAGTTTGGTTACTGGGTTTACTAAAATGTGTCATGTTTTGACACTGGAAAAAATTAATATCAATAATGCTCACTAAGTTTAGTAAAACATGTCATGTTTGGTCACTCTCTGTTAGTCTCCATCTAACTTTGTTAATGGAGTCCATTAAGTGCTGATGTGGCAAACAACATCGCCTAATAAGCCGGATTTAACCCGGAAAATACCAAACTCAACCCGCCACATCATTAAAACCCTAACCCAACCCAAACAGTTCATTGATCTTGACCCTTCTCCACTTCTCTCATCCTTCTACTCTACCTACTCTGCCTTCTACTTCACCCTCTCTTCCTCCATCGAAAAAACCTGAAATTGAATAACCTAAGCAATCAATCAAAGAACCCATAGCTCGATTTACCTCGTCCAACATCGTCCTTGCGGCACCCAGCTGCCGCATCTAATACAACCCTAGGGAGGGTTGTTTGGATCAGAAGTCACGCAGCCAAGGTCAATCTCGAATTAACTTGACCTCGTCGAACAAGCACTCAAGAACAGAGGAATTTGGGATGTGTTTGGCATGGAAATCTCGTGCAACTTTCACAAGGGAAAGAGGCTCGATGATTATCAGTCGAGGCTTGGCCACGATCAAAGTGTGTAGTTGATTGATACAAGCTAACCAACAACCTAAAACCCACTAGATCACTCAATCAAACTCACGTAGCAAGAAGCTAGATGAATCAAACTAGGGTTTGTATTCAATTCCGTAAAAGTAGTGATTACAATGCAATAGCAAGCTTAAATAGAACCTATCTATGTTTACAAGTCAAGAAAGAAAACCTAATTGCAACCAAAACACGAAAACAACTCAATTATTCTAAAGAGGACTCTGAATCCTAATCCGAGAAGGATTCGGATTGCTTGCTGGCAGTCTTCCCAATCAAGGTTTCATACGATCTTCCAGCTCTTTGTTTGAAACCCTCCAAGCATCATTTCGTTCAACCAATTCCTTCCCTCTGTAGTAGGAAACACCTACTTTCATGTGGAACAAATCCCTGGTTTCGAATCTCCACCATTCTTCTCGAACAAAGCTCCAAAGTCGGGCACCCAGCTTGCCCTCCACACTTGGTCAAATTCGGCCAGTTTTCCAGTTGTGGCATAGACATTTGAGAGGCTTCAAAATTGATCCTCCTGGTCCTTTCTTGAGCACCCAAGCTGACCAATGTAAAGGGGTGCACTCCATCTTCAAAACAAGCCTTTAGAATCCCATTTCTATCCGACTACCATAATGCTAGCACCACCAATGAGGAAAATGTGGATCAGTGAAAGAGGGGAGACGTGTAGGAACTCCATGATTTAGATTGTGTTTTTTTGTTGTTAAGTCTTAAAGACGATTTGGTTTGAAACAACTTTGATTGCAGATTGATATTATGTGGTTTTCAATTTTAGGTATGCGTGAAAAATTATGAGGTGTTTTATTGTATTTCTTGTTAGTGTGTTAAGTTGTTATGTTATAAAGTTATGGCTCCTTGCTATAATGATTTAGGACTGATTTTGTTGGTTTCAAACGTAATTTGTACGAGCAAACAAACCACCCACATCGACATACATAAGCAAAAAATTCCAAGGTCATAGGCTGATTTTCTCGTATTCGATCGACCTTTTACTGTATTCGGTCGACCGATAAACCAACACTTTTGATCTTCGTTACACTTCAAAGGGGGATGAATAAATGGATAGAACACTTTACTGTTGTATCTCGTCGACCTGTTTCTGTAAATGGTCGACCAATTCGGTAATGAGTGCCATCAAGTGGTCAACCTCCCTACGTTTACGGTCCACCAATTTGCTGACTACAATGAAAAGGCCGACCGATTATTTTATTGTGGTCGACCATTAATGTGTCAACTTAACATAAAACGGTCGGCCACTATATTGTAATGGTCGACCGTGAGTTTTCATCATAGTGACCACCTTAGTGTATTAGGTCGACCGCAGTTAGCAATAGATTGATTGAAAAGTACAAGTTACGATGACTTACAAGACACCATAGACATATCCAGACATTTAGTTTTATTTTAAATTAAGCTCAATACATAAATCCCACACCAATTAAACGAGAATGTATCCTTAAGTTATAAAGTTATTTCTAATTACGCTAATGGCTGGTGATGTGATTATTAGATGTTGTATGATAATTTATCTAATTCATGACTAGTTTGTTTGTTAATTTTTATTACTAGTTTATAACCCGGCCCATTGGCTGGAATGTTCATATTTGATTATTTATATTTTTATGTTACGTTTAAGTGAATCAATCGGGTTAATTTTATTGACAATCCTTCGATCGAGATGATACATAAAGAAAGAATATATAGGTCTAAAATTCGGAGAAATACCATCATCATTTAAGAATATAAAATATAAAATGTATTATTAATTCCATTTTCATAATGATAATTAAGCCCTCGTTAAAATGCTATTGGTTAGTTGATTGTCAAGAAAGAGGGTATAAAAACTTAGTGAAATTCCACACGACTGATAGATAGTTTGAAACTAAATCTTGAACCTCACAATCCTACATAAGCGTTTGATGCGCTCCTTTTATGAACAATATGCCACTAATCAAAAAGAAATAGAGAGTTGTTGATTCAAGTCAACTATATACTAACAACTTAGCGAAGAGCGGGTTGGATCAGGTCCTTAAGCCTCATTGTTTAAGGAGGTTCTTAAACCATTTTATTGGCTGATATTATATTAGGTAGTTAATGAGGAGTTAGTAGTTAATAGTTAATTGGAATAAATAAGATATTATGAAATTATAATTAATATTACTCATTAATGATTCTCTTTCTATCTCCCCCTTGATCTTTTCCATAACCCTCTCTCTCCACTACAACTAAAAGGAAATTCGAAATTAATTAAATTAAATATTATTATTTAATATTTAATAAATTCGAACTTAATATTTTTTATTCTTTAAAATGAAAGTTGAAAATTAAAAATATATGCTCTCTCTCACTTAGTGGCAACTTGCAATGCAGTATTAACATTTTGCAATGACATTATCAGCATTTATAAAATTATAATTAATAGTTAATTGAAATAAATAAGATATTATGAAATTATAATTAATATTACTCATTAATGATTCTCTTTCTATCTCCCCCGTGATCTTCTCCATAACCCTCTCTCTTCACTATAATTAAAAGAATTCTCGAAATTAATTTAATTAAAATATATGTTCTCTCTCACTTAGTGGCAACTTGCAATGCAGTATTAACATTTTGCAATGACATTATCAACATTTATGAAATGAATCGTTATTATTATACCTCATCATTATTAACGACTTCAATATACTTATCAATTTCTTACAATTACATTATTAACAATTTTGGATCAATTGTTACTGTTTTATAGTTTCGTCATCAACGTCTATGAATGAATCATCAAAGTTATGTAACATGGTCATTAACAGTTGAATAACAATATCATTATTTTACATCTTTGGTACTAATGATTCACATTTTCACATCATGTTTATAACTATCTAGTCATGGCCTCTTCCAATGATTTCTAATGACGTTATTAACGTTTTATGATCAATTAATATTGCTTTATATTATCATTCTCAATGATTATAAAGCACAATACTTATTTTCAACATCTTGGGTACTTGTGACATAGTGCACCTGTGTGATTCAGTCAAACAAACATTGTCAAGAAAAATATTAGCTCAAGCAAACCAACATTCACGCCTCAACACCAAACTTTTAATAACAATACAATAAATCATTGATAACTAAAAGTATTTCATTGAAAATAAACACAAAACATCAATGTAAAAATGTGCGACTTCAACATTATAAATGACATCAAGCTTTTAATAAAGATATTAAAAATCATTAATAACGAATGATCAAGTCACCGATAAGGAAATATATTTTTATTATAAAAAATATTAATAATATTCAGATACAATGTTTAATGTCAAATAGCATTAAAAATGCATTAATAAGTAACATGTGTTTAATGGATAATGCATCCAAAAACTTTGGTAATGATAGCAACTAATGATTGTTAAGTACCTTACTATTAATATCTTGTTTTTTCAAACATTGATAATGCTTATACAGACCTATTAATAATGAGACCAACTATGTTACTAACTTGGACTGAAAGATTAATAACCATAGTTATATCATTAAACGTAAATTCACGTTTGCTAATG